ATATATATATATATATATATATATATATATATATATATATATATATTTATATATATACAAACATATATTTTTTTCCTCTCTTGAATGTTTCGCTCATTAAAACAGTTTAAATACGAAGTGAAACAACACAATTCACAAAACGTTACTGTAAGTTTTATTCCTCACATAAAGATATATTCATGTTTTTATGCGAATGTACAAAGTACTATTAATTTTTTGAAAATTTCAACTTTTGATATTTTGATGAACAGATATAGCCTAGAGTACTCTGCTTGTTCTTGAAATAATTTTTGCGAGAACTATTTTCTTAGACAACCTGCATTGTTTTTGAATATTGCAAATGTTTGGCAGTGATCAATCTGAAGAACTATTTTAAAGATAAAAAGATAAAAGCTCAAACAACTATGAGAACTTTTCTTCAACAAAAACATGCCTTTTTAGCTTTCTGGAGATTGGACTCAAGTAGAAGTTATTAGATTGTCAACTGAAAATGGAGGATTAGGTTTCGGAATAGTCGGGGGTGCAAGTACAGGTGTAGTAGTAAAAACAATTCTTCCAGGCAGTCCTGCTGATAAAGTAAGTTTCAATTTCCCTAACAGTCTTCAACCTCAATATATCTCTTTAAGGATAAGAGATTGAGACCTGGGGATCATATTTTACAAATAGGAAATGTCAACACTTATGGAATGAGTAGTCAACAGGTACGAAACCCAAGTGTGCGTTACTGTGCCAGAAAAAACAAAAGTTTAATTTACACTCTCTAGGCAAACAGATCATGGTATAAAATCATTATTTTTGAAAAATTTGAAGTGGAATGTGTTGAAGTTAATTATATGTATGTTCAGGTTGCAACAATTCTGCGACAACAAGATACTTTGGTTGAGATGATTGTGGGTCGTCCAATCAACTATGCAGATAAGCCACTTGATACAGCAGGTTAGTCATATGATAGAGTTAAAGAGTTGAACAAATTGCACTCTTGTGCAAGCATAACAACCACGAACTGCAAAAAAAAATAACTGGGCTGTTCGAGGAAATGCCGATGCGACAAGAATAGTGTAGAAAAGCTCATGGAAAAACTCAATAGAAGCTCACAAAATTAGAAAACGATTCGGGTGGGGCAGACATACGAAATGGAGCAACTTAAGCTCCATGAGCGGAGCTTTTGTGTATGTTGGTGCTGATTATCTTATTTGTCATCCATGGCCTCTCGGAAGATGGAACAAATTCAATTGTAAATTTGTGTCTGCTCAAAGCCAGATGACTGCCATTTCGATTCCGGTTCACCGTCAATATCCTTAGAAGAGTTCAAACTTCCTACGTGATGCTGTTTTTTTTCTGGTGACTACCCTAGACACGAAAAAAAGTCTCCAAGAGCCTAACCACTTTTCATTAATACTTCATTCACTTTTTCATCAAGATATTCATTCATAATACTCGAGAACCCTTCTCTGAGTGAAATAGGTACACGAGATCCAGTTGCATCTCAGGAAGAAGATTTCAAGCTTCCATTTAATTTTAGATTTGCTTGAACCACAAGATAATTGGATATTTTGCTGTCCATCAGGTTAAGCATAGAATAGATTTATTCAATAGGAAGTAGTGTGAATATTACTTAACAAACGTCTCTCAGTCAAAGAAGAAAACGAAAAAAGAGTAGAAATAAGAAATGGTATTGATTTCACAAACAAGAGATGTTTAGCACCTTTAGTCTTTCTTCTTCCTTTTAAAACTTAGCCGGAATATTCGATACTTTCCATATTTGACTCTTTCGTCTATTGAACACATCTTTTTCTTTTACGTTTCAATTCCAAATTCTTTGAGCGCTATTTTCTTTTTTTTAGTTTTCATCTTCCTGTGTATAATTCTGTGAGATTTTGTCTATTATGTTTTTTGTGAGCATTAAACTCTGAACACAGAACCTCTTGAAGAGCAATTCAAGATTCGAGATTCCCCTTCGACTCTCATTAGATGCTCTTAATTTGAGTTATTTGACGGTTTTCGTACCTTTTTATGGTGAAGCTTTCTGTTCATGAAGCCATTTATGAAAATCAATTCATTCCGCTGACGGAGGGCATCACAGGCTTCGTCTCCGCTTTCTCATTCGGCTAAGAATGAGCATCGTCTATGTTCATGATTGGGAAGTTGAGAAACGAGAAGAGATGAAGAGGATGATGCCGATACTCTAACTTGTTTTCTCATGTTTATCGTGTCTTCATACTAACTATATGGAAAATATGCTCGAATGAATTCTGAGATCTTCATAGATTAGTTCAGATTACACGAAATGAATATATTGCTTTGAGAATGGAAAAACTTTCAAACTATTTCAACTAAACAAGTTATTCCTTAACGAGAATACTACTAGACTCAAAATTTTTTATTTGGCTCTTTATAACATTTATTGAAAATTGACTGATCAAAATCAGCTTTCTCTATCTGATTCTTAACTAATTGTAGACTGTTTCACAATGGCGACGCGCTCAGCTCTGAATTCATCCTTACTTGAGGAGTTCTTGCAAAAAAATCATGCAAAAACTAAGAACTCTAACTCATCTACTGTGGATTCTTCATTAGCTTCTCCATCAACAAGTCATGAAGAAGAACCAACAATGAGAGGTTGGTCTACAGCCCCAAACCTGAAGAAGGCTTTGTTGATTTTATTATATGCAAAAAGCAAGAATATCTTTTCCGCTCTTTCTCCATTACTCATCCTCATCTGATTGTATTTCACTTCTGCTATTTAAAAACACAATCGATTAAAAAAATTGCTGTCATTTAAGATATACCTGAAGAATCAGAGTTAGATGCAACGGATAAGTTCAACGAAGAATTAACCGCGCCTTCTACGTCGTCATCAACCGCCTCCACAGATAAGCAAATGGAAAACGTAGAAGGTTCACAACAGCCAATATCTTCATCGATTGCCGATACAGAAAGGCAAAATTCGAGAAAATCTAGTCAAACTAGCTGCACTTCCAAAGGTTTTTAACTCATCCTCCATCTTATTTCAAACGCGCTTTATTCCAGTGCTTAAACTCGGCTCTTCGACGACTTCTGTTCCAAATGGGTCATTGCTTAAATCTCCCACTACTCCGACAACATCAAGGATTTCGCTTAGAACATTACAAGAAATGGTTTCAAGCTACTCTCAACAAGCACATCACTTTTTTTCTTAGGCTCTAACAGTGTTTCTTCGAGAAAATTGGCAGAGTGAACCATATGAAGTTATTGAAGTGGAATTACTCAGAGATCCAGCTTTAGGTTTGGGCATAACAGTGGCCGGATATGTTCATAGAAAAGGTTTTTTTTTAATCATTTACTGAAAAAAATTTTGTTCAACCCCTTGCTGAGAACGTTCGAAGACTATTATTTTTCACCTAAGTGCTTATTTAATAAAAGTCTTGAAAGAAGCACATTGAGGCGGGAAAGTTTAATGTAAACTTTAACTTTTCTTTCACTTCATCAGCCATCTTATGATTATCTCCTCTCTCTCTCCCTCTCTCTCTTCCGCTTTTAGTTGCATGGTCATCTACCCTCGCCGTCTCCAATGCTCCTCAAAAGATGGCAACGGGAAGAAGTCGATGTGTTGAGTAATTCAATTTCATCGTCCACATCCATATTTCTACTCTCTTCTCAAGTTCCTTTCTTAACTTTGTACACCTCGTTTAGAGTTTTTTATTCTTATGAACTGCACCTCCTCATATTTTTTTTATCATTTCAATGACGTACTGAGTTCATTTGATTTTTCATCAATCATCTGAAAGTTGAAAATTACTTGTTTCACCTAAATCTCAATTATGTATTTTGTATGACTAAGAGTGTGAATCGGTTGATCTTTCCTCCCTTAAAAGCTTTCTTGATTTTGTCTCATTTTTTTGTATTCAGAAGAAATCGGTGGTATATTTGTAAAATCCCTTGTGCCACGCTCCGCTGCAGCATACAGCCAGAAGATACGGGTTCACGATCTTATTTTACAAGTAAGTTTTTCCTTTATTCAGCTTGCACTCTTTCACAGGTTTTTCATTTGAACGTTAACTAGTCGTATGCGCATCTTTTCAAATTTGATGATTTGTAATTCAGTATGAAAAACAGAAATTAGACTAAATTGAACAATCGCTTATAGACAGAATAGGGAAGAAGGAGATAATTTTTACAAACAGCGAATCTAAGAACTAATGTTTTAAAAACAAGATTATCAGTAGAATAAGATCTGAAAGCCTTAATCAGGCCTTGCTTGGTTGACTTTGTTTCTCTAGCTTTGCAAGATTTTTTTTATAATATATGGTCATGTACATATAAACACGAACCCTAAATATAGCTAGCCTTCTTAAAATACTGAAATCGAGTAAAAAGAAAAAATGGCTTCCTTCGGTGAGAGAAACGCTTGTTCCATAGTAAATTATCTGCTTTTCGTCGCAAAATTCTCTCTTAAGTGTTTCAACGACTATAAGCTCTCTCGACTCAACGGCTCCAAGCTAAAATTTTACTCTTGAAAACGCTTTTTTTCATCTTTAATTGTTTCTGAAATTTTTCTCCGTGATTTCTGAAATTGTCTATAAACTTTTCTGCAATGCGGGCTTTGTTTTTTCGCATTGTTATTTCTAAGTTACTCTCTAGGTGAATGAAACTTCCCTGGAACACCTTTCACACGCTGATTCTGTTAGAACCTTGGTGAAATCAGGACAGGTTGTTCAACTGAAACTCATCCGCTTTCCGTCTGAGTCGCCCCAAGCTCAGTGCTTGAAAATGCTTCAAGAACAAGTAAAGTTTCTGATTCCTTTGAATTATTTTAACTTCAACTGTTTTATAGGAAACTGATACGCAAGTTATTGATGTTCAATCATCCAACCCTGATCTCGTAAGTGAGTGGAAAAAGAGACTCTCGAATGAAGTGAGTTAAATTTTTAAAGGAAGTCGCTCAATAAAAAACACATCTAGGTTGACATCGTTTCTGCAGTTGTCCGACCAGATCGAAAGGAGGGCGGCGATGGAGGATTAGGCATTTCATTAGAAGGTGGAATTAAAGTTGCATACAAACAAATACAATAGTTGTTTAGGAACAGTTGATGTTGTTAATGGTCATCAGTTATGTCCACATCATTATATCGAATCCATTCGGCAAGATGGTCCTGCAGCTAGAACAGGTTTATTACACGCAGGAGATGAGCTTTTACAGGTTATTCTTGCCTACACCTGGTAATAGTATAAAAATTTGCAGGTAAACCATTCACCTTTGTATGGCGAATCCCACGTGACTGTCCGACAAGCTCTAACGAGAGCTATAAATTCTGGAGCTCCAGTGACTCTCATTGTAGCTCGGCGTACTCAACATGTGAATATGTTTCAACCATCAAATGAACAAAGCACTCTGCCATTATCATACCCGTTATTGGCTGCTGGAATGGATCGTTTAGTGAAGGTTCCCAAAGTGTTACAGAATTCAATAATTTTTGATGTTTGAGGCTAAATCAGAAATGGTTCTGAGCAAACCAACAGAAATAGATTCTCTATTGCTAGCTGTGTCTCGCCGTTTGCGATCAAGATCACTAGAGCCTCTAGCTGGTTTAGCTATTTGGAATTGTGTGCCTTTGATCATAAACTTAGAGAAAGATTCGCGCGGCTTAGGTTTTTCCGTAGTTGATTATCAGGTTACATCAAGTATAAAACTTCAATAATTATTCTGCAGGATCCCTTACACCCGGGAGAATCTGTGATTGTTGTTCAATCGCTCGTGCCTGGCGGAGTTGCTCAAGCGGATGGAAGAATAGTGCCTGGGGATCGGCTACTTTTTGTTAATAATCATGACCTTAGTAATAGCAGGTTATTCTTCGAAATCTTCTTATTTTCTCAACAAATAAGTTTAGTCTGGAACGAGCAGTAGCGTCTCTAAAGGCTGCCCCTATGGGGAAAGTTCGCTTAGGAATCGCAAAACCAGTGCCAGCTGAAGAAGTAAGTTTGTTGTTCATTGTTGTTAATGATTTTTGTCGTCTTAATTTTGAATTTTTTCTTTCATTATCAAACTATATCTATATGAGCCAAATGTCCTCTTGAAAAATTATAGACTTCACAGCAGATGACCACTAACCGTTACTTAAGTTGTTCGAATGCGATTTGCATTGCAACAATGAAAATTAACTTTACCGTCTAAAATCAGATTACTTTCAGTTTAATTTTAACAGCTCATATCAAATCGTCTCATCAAAACTTTCCCGATTCCCTTAATCTTAGAAAATCTTCTTTGAAATTAAAGACTGGAGGGTTTGATGATAAAAAGAATCGTCAATATCAATGATTTGCATGTTCCCGTCTGTTCTGCTTATTTATCTGATGAAGTTTGTGCTAGAAATTCATTTGTTTTGGCACAATTAAGACAAATTTGAATGGAATAATCGAGCATAGATGGAAGAAAAGCAACAAAAGAAAAAATCGATTAACTTGCAAGTCATTTGCCGTCCAACTAGAGATGGAAACTCCATTATGTCAATGAGTTGTCCATCTGAACAATCTGATATTTTTGAAGATTACAACTCTTTTATGCCTGTTAGTTCTGAAAGTATACTTCGAGCGATGATATCCTCTCTTTCTCTTTGATTTTCAGTATTATACAACAAGTGCATATAAGCTCGAAACGTAATTTCTAGTTTTTTCGTATTACTTTTGGAACAACTTGTTTCTTTTTCGCCTGATAAGCATACACTACTGCTAATTCATGTTTCCCACGCAGCTCACGTAACGCTTGTGAGTTCATTTTTATTTTCAACTTCCTCACAAGCGGTCGGTTGCTCATCAATAACTGAATGAGTTCTCATTCGAGGTAATTTTTTTCGTTGGTTTAGCTCAATTCAGATTCTTTAACTTTTTCTTATCGCTTACATTATAACTTTCTAAAAGCTCTTTTTTTTTCAACAAATGAGTTAAAAAGTGAAGCTCTTATATGTTTGGAGTTTGTTAAAGATATTGAAGCTAATGTGTTTTCCGTAAGTAAATGAAGCTGGAGAGGCTAGTGCTTCATCATCCTAACGCTAATCCATGTTCTTTAATTGCTATGTGTCAAAAGGTGCATAGCATACACGTAGGCTACACTCGGAAAATATTCAATGACATCATATTTGAGTTATATAGATCAGCTCTAGTTCATTTTGTTGCTCTTCGTCTGTTTGAAGCTAGAAAATGGAGTGTTCAATATGAATTAACTAAATAAGCATATATTCTCAAGATTCAATGGATTCTCGTTATGCAACAGTTCTTTAACAATATAACAATATGCATTATATATATATATATATATATATATATATGTAAAATGTTATCCAACTATTTAAGAGATTAATGGCCACTTCATCCTTTTAAGTTACTCGAATATGCTACTTTAGCCCCTCAGGCTTGTCCTGCAGGCATGTCCGAGCTTCTCCATCATCCTTTCTTTTATTTTTATTCTTGAATGCTCGTTTGCAATATTATAAATCTCTTTTCACCATAACCTGTCTGCAAAGCTCCTTATTGAATAACGCATTTCGCTTCTCTTACATGAAATCGTAAAATTTTCTGATATTATCAGATATCATACTGTTTCTTCTTCAAGCTAGCATAAATTTTTTTCCGCTTTTTTAAAAAACTATTTTTATTCAAAATTTATTTATTATTTTGTTCTCCTTTGGTTTTCCTTAGTGTATCAGAGAGGAGTGTGTGGGTCAAGTTCGTCGTAGGTTCTAAGATCGATGAATGGCAATATCCTGCCCCTCTCCGTCCCTTACTTTGTCCGTATTCATCTCTTCTCTCTCTTCTTTATTACCTCACAAATGATCATCTCTCATTGTAACCGACTAATTTCTTTTTAATTTATTATATGTTTAGTTTCATTATGCTTTTTGGCTCAAATTTTGAAAATGGAAGAGCTTTTTTCCATTTTATCCCAGTTTTTCTTAATCCTCATTTCGAATGAGTAGCATGAAGTTTTAAACTTTTTTCTTTTAAATTATAAAAACTTCTAGCCAGCAACATTCATTTCTCATTCTTATTTCATAACCCACGACAGTTCACTCAAAAACGTCAAGTCTTCTCAGCTTTGTTCAGCATATGTTTGCTCTCTTATAAACATATGATATTTCCTTATCATCTCATTTTTTTCGTTTTCCTACTTTCTCGAGCAAGCATTTGCTGTGTTGTTTCAACCTTTTCTGAATAAAATAACAATGTTTATCTATTTATTTTTTATTTTCTTCATTTCAGTGTTTGACATCTGCACATTCACCTTTGTTCACACGGAGTGAACGACTGCTTGCTAGAGGCAGCTCTCCGAGAAGAAGGCGAAAGGTAATTTTTTTTCTTCAGTTGAAAAATTGAACAAAAATAACTACCTAACGCTGTATTAATTTATTTCCCACAAACTATTAAGTTCCCTATTTCCTTCATTCTAACAGTGACCAAACTATCCCGCGCAAAAAAAGCCCTCTCTTTGGATCCGTTCAGATACTCTTGTCTGTTTTGTTAAGCGAAAAATTGATCAATCGCTCACAAATCTTAATTATTTTCCTTAGTAATGTAAATTTAACAATAATGTAGATGAGAAAGCTTGTAAATCCTAATGGATGAGCATGTCAGATGAGATTAGTATCATGTGGACCTCAAGACTCATCGTGTCTGCTTTTTCTCTTTTATCGTCTTGTGACCTCATGCTTAACGAAATTCTTAATTAGGCCAAATAGTAGATGAACTTAAGCTTTAACGGATGTATCATTTTACAATTCATTCGACTTTTATGCAACATTATGTCCTCTCTTGAAGGATCCGCATAAAAGAATACATTCATCTTCTATTTGTTTGTTTTTATATTAGTTATTGCATTTGTCGAATAATTGATATGCTCATTACTTTTCAAATATAATGCGAAAATCATTTTTAGACTTCTGGAATCACATCGAGTCAGGAAACAGTTTGGATTGGAATTGATACATATCGTCGACTCCATCCGCAGGTACATTCTTTGCCAGTTTTCACTTAATTTACATGAGTATATACATATCGAGCTATATATATATATATATATATAATCATGTATCGGTTGGTCTTGCCTGTGATTAAAATGCTTCTTCCACTAACTGTTTGAGTGAATCGATGCATGTCTTTCTATATGCATGAGATAGGAAACCGATTAAAACTCAATGACAGAATATCAAACTAAATCAAGCATGTTTTATTTTCCTACTCACCTCTGTCTTTTTTGCAGCTTTTCTGTCCTCTTACTTACTTTCACTTTCTCGATTAATGTAAAGAGTTGCCTGTAAGCTTTCGAAAAGCTTTTTAATCACTATGTTGCCTGTCTTTAAAAAATATAAAAAGAACTATGGCGGTCTTACAGGGATATTTCGGTACTTCACGTAGTCCATCGTGTTCCAGAAGCATTCGCAGCTTTGACGGTGTATGTTTTAAATCGAATTCTAGATAAACATATTCATGCATATGAGAATGGTAGTGTCTCTACAACTTTTTCTTTCATTAACTTTTCTTTTCTGGAAGAAAATTAAAACAATGTTCTGAACATTGCTAATATTCTTTTATGTATGCACAATCTGAATCGTTTCCATCTCTTTTCACTTCTGCTTTTCGTTTCTCTCAATAACTTACTGTCATCTATCCGCCATTTCCAGAAATTACGTTGTCACGAAAACAGATTGTTAGCAGTTTTTTTTCCATTTTCAGTCATGAAAAGAACAAAAAAACCAATACGTTCTTACTTTGTTTTCTGTTAGAAGTAAGAACAAAATGCTATTACTTGATACTGTTTTTGAGGCAATTACTTCTATTATTTTGCACTTAGAGAGCACTGAATGATTGTTCTGTATGATATGGTTCAATTAGATATATTTCATCTTAGGATAATTCAATTATTTATATATAAATATTATTTACTACATGATATGTTATATTTGTAGTCTGATATTTCTATGGCATCTTGGTCACCTTGTTCAACACGATCAATCTCTCCAGCAGGATCTCCGTTATCACTGCGTGGCTCGTGGGCCTACGATGTCATTTATTTGCCAACACACTTGGAGAGATGTTTGAAAATTCAGAAAGGCTCGTTACCATTAGGTAATTTTCTTCTTAATTTATATTATTGAGCCGAATGTTATTAAACTAATACCCATCCGTTTTGAGGAATTGTTTTGGATGCTGATAAAGACAAGGGTGTCAATGGATGTGTTGTGAAAAGCATTTGTGGGAAAAAAAGTGTTGGATTAGATGGACGCATACAAGTAATTTCAAGAAACTTTCCTCGTTAACATATTTTTGACCTTCTTTAGGTTGGAGATTATATAGTTAAAGTTAATACAGAGAGCTTACGTAATGTAACATCTGCACAAGCTAGGGCAATATTAAAAAGAGCCAATTTATTAGGATCTCAATGCACGTGAGTCATATTTTTTTGACATCTACATACATATATGAAGCATCATTTGTTTCCTTGTTGCTACTCGTTCTCTTGTTGCATCTACACGTTCTCTACTAATTCTCTTGAAGAAGTCATTTGTGTGCCAAATTACATTTTTTCTTTTCAACACAAGTAAATAATGTATCTCCACTTAGCTTAATTTTGCTTTAAGCCTTAAAATTCTGCTAACGGCAATATTTTTTTTGGATGTGTGTACTCTTGCTCTTTTTCTCCTTCATTTTCATGTCTTTTACGAGGCCATCCCGACGCGTCATAGCATTTTTCGTCTTTGATTGAAAAGCTCCACGAAGCTACGTAATTTTATTCCGTTCGAAGAAATCAGTTTTTTTTTTTAAAAAGTTTTACATTGAACTTCTCCGATTTTTGTTCAATAATTTTGCATTATTATTTATTCAGAATTGTATATATCACCGGTGCTGACGCAAAACTATGGAAAGAACGCTTTCATCGTGATCCAGAACCGAATTCACCGTCTATCAACCGTCTGTCACCGAAGTTTTCCAGTTGGAAAATTGAGATATTAGCATCATTTTTTCAGAATTTTTCCCAAGTTTTATAAAAGTCCATACCTTTCACGCAAAATGTCACAAGAGAATTATGATAATTATGGAACTGAGCCGTTATCTGAAGCGTCTGATGCTGGGATCAGTGAACTTCAAACTCTAGAAAGTGCTCTGGATAAGAATACTGAGAAGCAATCAGCGCCTGAGAAGATCATCGAAGAAGTCTCATCTTCCCCAGAATTGAATCAAACATGCAATGGGACGACGACATCAGCATCTGCGGGGGATGGACGGTTAGTAGATGGAATGGAAATCGATTGCTTCGTGTATGATATTATAGAGGTATTTCCTTTTCTTGTTCTATTTCTAAAATATTTCTTCATTCCTTATTATTCTTTTCTCTGTTTCTCTTTTTTTTCCACTTTGCTATACATAAAGAATGAAGGCTTAGCTCACTTGAAAGAAAGCGATCACCAAATCAATGAAATTATATGCATAGTCGTTATGACTAAATGATTGAGTTATGATTATAAGCTAAGCTCTTGCTATAAAGAACCCCTTCTTTCCTTATAGTGCCGCATAACACCTGAACATTATTGATTTTTTTTGGAAATTTCAGTATTTTTCTTTTTATTTCTCTTGAATACGCATCTTGAAAGATTTAAGCTTCCCCATAATAAGCGTTTCCGAAAGAAATTGATTTGAATGTTCCGATGTGTGACTAAACTATACAGCAACTCATCCTATTTGCCATAAAATGAATGTCAATTATTCGACTCTTTCCATATAAAAGCTGTCTCTCTTCTCTATTTCATGCTTCAGTTTCTAATATTCCCAACGTTTAAACTTTTGCTCGCATACTCCGTCATTTCATTTGAATTGAAATATATTTATCATTCTCAGAGAAAAGTGGTTTATTTCGTTGGTCATTTTTTATTTTCAGTTTTAATCCTCAGCTTGATTCTTTTTCTCTCCATTTCTTCTCATTTCTCTCTTCCTGCGAGTGATCACTGAATAGCTTATTTACATCCACATGTCCTAATATGGATTTATTCGCACATTCTCTTATCCTCCGATATTTCCATATTCGGTTATCCTTGGAATCGTTTCTGTTCCCTTTCTCATTCGTCTTCTTTGCAGGAAGCACTTCAAGACGCTATAGTTGAGTTAGCTATAAGCCATCGAATACCTGATTGGAAAGGTCGTTCTATTGATCAGGCTTCATCTGAAAACCCTCAGCCTCCCACACCTCCTAGCTGCAGTCCTCCTCGAGACACACCTTCCGGTTAGTAAGATAATTTTGAAATGTAACATGATTTCGATAATACAAGTGTTTGCTTTCTCCCTATTTTTTGTCTCATTCTACTTAACCTTACAGATTCTCCTAATCAGACCATCAAAGCTCCGGTGGTCGCTTCCACTATAGAAGAAGCCAGTCATTTCGTTCGCTCTGATTCTTCGTCTTCTGGGAGCTCACGTGGCTCTTTGCCACCTCCTCCACCACCTGCTCGGCTTCCTGATCACGAAATAGGAACTTCATCTTCTCGAAACTCTCCTGCCTTTCAATCACATGTAATTTCAACTTTTGTTGCTCAAGTAGAAAGAGAAGCTGAGGAAGACGACTTTTCCAACAAGGCAGTAACTTACTCGGAGGGAGTGTCGTTCAAACCTACTGAAAGTGAAGAATCAGAAGTTATTCGAGCGGAACACGTTGACGAAGTTCAAAACGGAATCGAAAAAGTAAGGCAAAACTCAATTACGTTCTTATTTCTTTTCTTCTTCCCTTTTTACATTCTTAATTTTTTGTATGCAGGTTCTCGAACCCAGTACAGCAATTGTCCTAGAAAGTGCATCTGGTGAAGAAACTTCTATACCAAGTATTGCATCAGCTGGAAATCAGCCCTCCACACTGCCCGCGGAAACTATGCACAATCAGGTAATCCTTACAAACATGAATTATATCTCAAATGTTCCGCAGGCTAAACAACTTTCACGATCTAAGTTTTGGGGAGAAGCTAGGACAGTAATTTTGATAAAAGAGCCCAGCAAATCTTTTGGTAATTTTGACTATCTGTTAACTAATCGTCAATATCATAGGAATATCAATTGTTGGAGGTAGAGTTGAAGTTTCTCAGAAAGGAGGGTTACCGGGAACGGGTAACACTGTGTCAGGCATTTTCATCAAAAGTGTACTGCCCAATAGTCCAGCTGGAAAGTCTGGGTTGATGAATATGGGAGACCGTGTCATAAGCGTACTTAATGTTTTGAATCAACATATTCCAGACTGTTTCACTTTACAGGTTAACGGAATAGACTTACGAGATGCAACTCATGAGCAAGCAGTTACTGCCATCAAAAACGCTGCGAATCCTGTAACTTTTGTTCTACAATCTTTGCATAGCTTTGCCCCACAACAAGTAGTGGTAATTATCATACCAATCATGATTAGAGATTACAGCAAATGATCAACTCATCTTCAACTTCATCTAATTCAACAATCAATTCTGTGAAAATCGAAAACAGGGAAGAAGTTGAGTTGGGCCTGCCACAGATCGAGAGAACTCTAAACCCAATTCTTCCATCTAGCAAAGAGAACACAGAAATTAACTCAGTTAATCTCGAGATTGAAGATGTTAAGAAACAAGAGATTTCTCAGAAACTAATCTCTGTTGAACAAGAATCTCCAAAAGAGTTGGTTTCATCCCCTGACTCTGTTTCATCAGATTCGAGTGGCCTAAGCAGGCAAAACACTGTAAAACAGCAGCCCAGTGTTGAACGAGGAGATTCAGATGGGAAGAACTCAGTTGTTTCACAGCCTTCTGTTGATAGACCAGTTGATGTTTACTATTTATTCAGAAAAATATCACTTAAATATTGTTTTAGGACCAGTCATTTGTTCGGGAGCACAGTGTTGTTTCCAGTTCTAGCCAGTGCTCTAAAAGGAGAGAGTCACAAAATTTCGAAGATAAACAGAAAGGCAGAGACTCCGAATCTTCGAGACACAGTAGTGTTAGCTCAAGAAAAAGCAAGAAAAGCAGTATTAAAAAAAAACCTCAAGTTTCGGATCAAAGAAAAACTGTTGGTTTTCTACTTTCTTGCAAATTTATATTCCGTTTGCAGAGTTATGCTTCGGGTCCTTTAATCGTATCCGATGTGTCCAGCTCTGAAACTCATGAGGATGAGATGACCGAGGTTTTTATCTATTATATCGTTTGTTGCAATGTCCCATTGCAGTATGTGGGGGAAGATTTCACGCAGGGGCCAGCATCAGAGTCTTCGAACATTACGCACACAAAGGCAGAAATCAATATAAGTACCCCTGAAGCTATCAAACTTAAGAGTCGTTTTGATTATAATGAAGGTATCTCTTGTTTCAAGTTAACTTATGTTTTATACTTTGTTAAGAGCATATGCGAATCAAATATGATGACCTCGAAGGAGAAATTATGATTTTTGATCTACCCAGAGTACCTGATGGAGGATTAGGAGTTTCTCTTGTTGGGAGTAGACATCCTGAAAAACTCAATGTATATGTTGTACAAGTCAAGCCAGCATGTCCGCTCCGTATTATCAAAGGCGATGAACTACTAGAGGTATGATTAGCTCATAAATTTGCAAAAGGTTGCTCAATGGTCAACTTTCTCCCTTTGTGTTCCGATGTGAAAAGTATATAAACAGCAGCATGCTTATGCATAAAAAGAAAAAAAACAATTTAATATCCCATCAGAACTATCGAGTAACCTTTAGATATTCGTGTGAAGCTGTATACAGTTTTCTTGATTTCGAAGTAATCTATTGCAGATTAACGGTAAAGTTTTACGTGGACTCAACCATGTGTCAGCCTCAGGAATAATAAGAGAATGCTGTCGCGATGATGAAGGTGTTGAATTGGTTCTATGCCGGAGGAAAGGTGCTTTGGTGAGTAGTGCAAGTTAACCAACATTAAGAAAATAATAAAAACGGAAACGATGGATAGTGAGAGTAGAGAAAAAATAAAATGCTCAGAGAATATATTGGTCTTGTCTGGATAGAATGATAGTTTGAAAACAGAATATTGGGAGAAAACAATTAAATAATAAGCCTTTAAAAGAGAATAGCATTGTTTATTATGTTTTTGACTTAACAGTTATTTTGTTGATATACTGCATAGGCTAAACTAAGAGAACTCGTCAATGTTCTACTTGCGAAAAGCAGATGATAGCCTCTTTAGTTAAACAGTATGGATATGAATAAGGAATACACAATTAATCGAAAGCCCCATATGAACCTGTTACAACCATTATTAGTTATAATAAAATAAAAAATAATTTGTCTTGAACTAGATATATATATGTATATATTGTATATATGTATGTATATATAAATGTGTGTGTATATTTATATACACATATAGGTGTATGTGTGTGTGTGCGTGCATGAAGAAAACGAGGGCGAGAGAGAGCGAGAGAAATATAGATATATAATCATTTTGTATGTTATAATAGCTTCTGAGTTGCTATATCAACCAAAAAAGGGAGGGATGAAGAGATTTTCTTTTTTTTATTCAAATTTATTTGTTCGAAAGCGGCAAAGTTTATCAAATTTCTGCGCTCATTTGATTAAAATAGAATTCGTTGATCGTTTCTCAATCACTGACTTCACATACTCAAATATGTGGATTTATTTTGTAAACTAAAATGAGAAAGAAAGAAAATTCGAAGAAATCGAGGCGTTTTTTATTTTATTTTTCACAAGTTTCTTTTATGAAGTTGCCTCAAGCTATGCATGGAAGATAGCATTCTTAAATGTGAATTTCTAATTATCAATATGCATATAAAGCCAAATAAATGAACAAGTAAGCGTTTGCTCGTCTTTCTTTCTGTGTGAGACAAATTTCAAGTTTTTAGTTTTATTTTTCTCTTTCGAAACGAAAATTCCCTGATGATTAGAGAAGAAAACACAAAATTCAAAGCTTCAGCTCTTTACTTTTTCCCCATTGAGAATTTTCGTTTTAGTCAGTTATTGTCTATTCATTTGAGAATTAATTTCATTTTTGTCCTTCTAGTTCCAAAACTTGAGTCAATTTCATCTTGTCATATCCATTTACGTAAAGAAAAAAAACAATTTTTTAACTGCCTCTCTTCGCTTAATTTTTTTTGTTTCAGAAGGACTGTGCTATCTGTGACGATCCACCAACATCTGGCTCTTCCGATTCTGATTCCAAAGTAAGTTGGTTGTTTAAAGAAATATTTATGGAAGAGTATTCTGGAAAGAATGAAAATGGAGGAAATTAGAGAAAGAGAATAACGTTTTCTTCATTCTTTGTTCCAATTTTTCATTCCTTGTTTCTCTTCGGCTCTAAAATTCAATTATTAATTGTTGTTGGAGAGCGTGTTAGGTGAAGCGCCATGAGAAGGGAATAGATAGAGTATTTTGATGTGGAAAAAGAGAAAAAAAAGTATTAATAAGATTTAATTATATTATTTTAATATAAATAATTGAATTATACCCGACCAAACAATATTAATTGACACAAAGAGCGGAAAAGGGAATAAATGAGAGAAAATACTGAGAAGATGTAGAAAACAGTTGAGACACTCTAATTGAAATCATAAGACCTTATGCTCAGGTCTTTTAGATTATCTACATTGTTCAAAAATTGTTTTATTTTGTTTTTACGAATAAGTCGAACTCCTCATCATCATAATATTCACCAAATTTCTCATAGCTTTCGCTTCTTCTCGGTTTGTGCTTCTCATTTTCTTATTCTCGTTAGGTTTTCACGTATCAAATAACATATTACCTGAGGCAATATGAGATTTCACTATTTTGCTTAGATCTATTTTATATTGCGGATATGAATAAGCTACTGTCGAGTGCTAAGTGTGCTAACTTGGTCAGTTTAGGTTTTGACTCTTTTCTCCGTCATTTTTTGAATATACACTTCTTCAAATTGCAATGCTTTATAAACGTCTTTGTCTTGCGGAGCATTTTGAGATTAAGCTATGAGTTTCTCAACAGGGACTCAAATAGAAAAGTGGTCGTTGTTCGGTTAATTATAGATGAACAGCGTGGAAGCTAGAGACTTCAATTCGGTCAAGAAAATAGAAAAAACTTAAAACATTATAAGTTGTTTTCTCTATGACTTTTCTTCAGGGAACCCAAGATGACTAAGTCTTTTATGAAAATACATTCAGTTTCCGCTGATCCATTAATAGAGACTATGAAAGGTTGAAAATCGATATTGTGGATATAAGTTCAAAACCTTTTGATGGGCTAGTAAAAATCGGTAGAAGACGGATCATTATTTTTTTTTTGAAATAACAAGCTCATTTATTATCTGTAGATCATGTGCAAATCAATTCCCCCGACTCTCCAAAAAAAAAATTCTTTGTTTCTTTACTTCTATTATGTTCTATTCTATTCTCTTTTCGCTACTTACTCTCTGTTACTATGAGTATCTATTTAGATGGTTTGAAAAAAGTCTTCAATTCCAGATTCAAAATAACTTTTTGTTTCTAACAATCTCATCAGAATTATAACATAACTTATTATTTCAAACTTTTTCAACTTGTCTGTTCACCATACACGTTTATTCTTTCTTAAGCGTCATCCATTTGAAACTAAAATCCTTTTTTTTTCGAGTTTTGTAGTTTGCGACGTATTTCTTTTCTTCGCCTTGTATCTGACTTAAATGAGGCGGAATCAAGCTTTATTAGTCACTTGTAAGCCAAGGATAGACCTGATGGTTGTGTTCTCCTCCTCCCATTTAAAAGTTGCTTGAACAAGCATTTACTTCGTGGATTTCTACGAACCGGAACATCTAAACATAGAAAAATTGAGGATTTCGTTTTCTCTGTCTATCTCTCCTCCACTGTTTCTTTCACTATTTCCTTTCTTTTCGTTTCTATTTTCCTTTCAAGAAGAGTTTGTTCCGCTGTGGCTCAGAGAATAATGCGGAGTTCAAATGAAACCAATTTTTTTAAAATTATTATTATCATGTGTTCTTTTTATCAATTGGATGATTAGCAATTAAAGTTCCAGTGAATTTTTATAATTTCTTTTTTTCTAGATTTCACCGATGGCTCCAACGGTGGATGGCGCCGAAACTGCATTACATAGTATAGAAGGTATATTTGAATCTTTGTAAATTTTTCACGTTTCGATATTCTTTGAGAGTTGTTTTTTCGTTTCAGTTCTAGTTATATTCTTCTATACTGAACGATCATGTTGTAAAACATTCTCAGTTCGTCTTTTCCGGAAATCTGTTTTTCCAGGAAATTTTTTCAATGCAACTCATTTGCATTCAAACTTTTTTTTATGACGAAAATAGAGACTAATTTCTAATTCCATAAAAATTTGTTATTTCTAATAAAAAAAAACATTTTTGGGAAAATTTCATTTACCTAGGCAACTTGAACGTGAGAGAATCTTTAAAACTGTAGAATTGTGGATAATTAGTTGTATTATAATTGTTGGCAGGCTCTACTAGTGATCTTTAGAACAAACTTTTCACATTAAATAGTTTTTTAGTCGACTTCTGTCTCTAAAATGCATACAAAGATTTTTTGACCGTCGGAGAGCCAAAGTTTTCCTCACTTCATTTCCTTCTGCTCTCCTGCAGTTTTATTTTCTTCAAAAGAAAACTTGTATTCAACCAATCATGGCTCTCTTTTACTTTATATTGATGCTCATTTCCTCTGAAGTGACTTGTCCAAAAGCTACTAATGCTTCTGATGTCTCAAAAGTAGACATATTTTCATACGTTAGAATAGACTTGCTATGTTTTGAGCTCAAACAGACAACGGAAACGGATAAAAACTGAAGAATACGAAGAGTGAAAAGGAACAATATAGCGAAAGAGCGGGAAACATGGAGAAACAAAAACTTGGGAAGTGACAGACATGATCTCTTCCATGAAGCATGGAAAAAATGCAAAATGATGAAGAAAGTTAACAAACAACCAATTCGTTTCTCTGCTCATGGAGAGGAATAAGATAAGAAGAAACATATTTATGGAGAAATTTTTGATAGTTTTACATGAGAAACGCTAAAAGTAAAAACAATCGTTGAAGTCCCTAGCACTACTTCTAGAACTCTGTTCGTGTTACTCCACTTCATAAAAAATACTCCCTTTTTTTTGTTTTTTTTTCTTCGAATTATTCAGGATAACCTGAGGGGGGGGGGGGGGAATTGATTAATCGCAACAAAACTAGAACGAATTGAAGTAGAAGAATACGAGGAGAAAAGGCTATTAGAAAAAGTAGCACTGTCGCTGTTCCATTATCATGCATGATTTCGGAATATCCTCACAACAACAATCTGATTAGTTGTAACTTGTACTTTGAGCATTTTCTTTTCTTATACATCTGTTATAGCATATTAGCTCAGTGACATTAGTATAGGTTTCAGTAAGGAGCATATAACACTGAATCAATATGAAATCCTCGCTTAAAAAATGCATTTTACCCAATTCATTTGTCTCCTAAAATGTGTTGTGCAATTGTAATGAGTGAAATGTGATCGAAGACACTGCAGATGCCAAAATAAACAATTTTATTGTAGAAAATTTAATTTCCAACCCAGGAAGCTCCGCAACTGAATTGACGAAGCATTTGATGCTTCGTAAAGCATGCTTCTATAAAAATCAGCTGATTATTTGAAAATATTCTTGCGTGTGTGTTCGCACTTTCGTCGCTCGTGTTTTCTTCAAAATACAAGCCAAAACTCTTTCATGTTATGTCCTAAGCTGAAAAATTCAAAGGCATACTAATATAATTTTTTGGCAAAAAAAATAATGAGTAAACATTTCTCATTGAGGGAGACAATAATATAAATCATGAAAAAACAATGAAATATTGGCTCGACTCTAATGCTCCAGCACAATCGTTCTGTCTCAACCAAAAATTTCGAATGAAATATGATACGCATTATTATATTATAAATTCCTAGTGATGCAGATTCGAAGTAATATAGTTCGAATAAGTTAAGATAATGACTAGCTTGATTAATACAGTGTTTTAGAATGATAATATGAGTTAAATTGTTTAGTCAACAATTTTCAATCTATTTCAGTTGTACGTAAGAAAAGTGTGAGCGTTGGACGAACAGCTCCCATTGAAACTGGAAAAGAGACAGTAATTGAGATAGATAAAGTTTTTTTTTTCACTTTTACGTAAATGAAGTTTATTTCTCTTTAGGAAGGAAGAGGTCTTGGATTATCCATAGTTGGTGGTTCTGATACCGTTTTGGGCACTGTAGTCATTCATGAAGTTTATCCTGATGGAGCGGCTGCTCACGATGGACGATTGAAACCGGGAGATCAAGTGTTAGAAGTATTTTAAAATATCAGGAATGCCTTATGTTACTTTATGTTTCTTTTAAGGTGAATAATATTTCTCTACGTGGAGTGACACATGATCAAGCAATTGCCTCTCTCAGACGCACCCCTCCGAAAGTAAGTTCTTTTGGAAGCTTCAACCTATTTGGAAATATTTGTTGTGAGCAACTCTATTATCTCTGAGAACTCGTTGTTATTTTGAGTACGTACATCATTCCATTATTTGGTAAAAGCATGGGTTAGCGTTGATAAAAGAGGACAATGAGTATACTGAGAGATGAAAGAAACTAATGAGATGAAAAAAAATGAGATCATAGGCAGTGAGGGAAAGTACCAGAACGTTTATTATTTCAACTATTTGTTTTTTTCAGGTTCGTTTACTTATTTATCGTGATGTAAACTTGCAAAACAGTTTGCTTGACCCTACTCAGATATACAATCTTTTCGAGGTTGAGTTAATGAAAAAACCTGGGAGGGGCCTCGGTTTAAGTATTGGTAAGTTTTTTTAATTATATGCGACAATAAGTAATGCTGAATCTTTGTTTATTTCGTCTCTCATTTTATTCCTTGGCTCTTTACGACTCTTTCTTTCTTGCACACTTTTTTCAGGGGTTTTCGCAAGAAAACTGAATTCCTAAACTAGGATATCCCCACAGAAAACAAAAAATTTATGTGCTTTCGAAAAATACATAAATGAAATGGAAATTATTTACATTCATTTATACAACACATATTTCAGTTGGACGAAAGAATGAACCGGGCGTTTACGTGTCTGAAGTAGTTAAAGGAGGAGCAGCGGAAGCTGACGCTCGACTGATGGCAGGCGATCAGGTACTTTTACATGGCTTATCTATTTCATTACCCAATTCGATATTCAGATTATGGCCGTAAATCAGCAAGACGTTCGGAACGCCATGCAAGAGGATGTTGCTGCTATGCTAAAAACATGCACAGGCAAGGTTCATCTGAAAGTTGGACGATGGAAACTTGCTGAAACAGCAAGAGTTCAACCACTAATTGATCTGACGTCGAATAATAATCTCACAGCTTCAACAACCACTCCAAGGGTATGAATGACACTGAAGAAGTTATCTAAAGCTTTATTTTTTTCTAGCCGGCTAGCAACATAGTTGTTGAAGAAGTAGCTGTTCCAGTGACCATTGAAAGATCTGTTCCTTCACCTGCGCCACCCATGAAGCCTATGATAACTCATACTGGACCCGATTCGCAGGAAGCTGTTGATTTGAGCCCTGTACAAGAGGAAACTAGCAGCGGCGGAGCCGAACGTGTGCGTTATCTCAAACTGTTGGGTTTCCATTTTATAGTTTTTTTTATAGAGAAGCCTCAGCGAAGAAAGTGGTTCTCCTATTTTCAATTTGATGATAGATGTTAAAGAAGAAGGCAGTGACACAATACTTGTTGAGCTGAGAAAGGTTATTTTTAGATAAACGTACAGAGAAGAAATTAGTGTATGTGAAAGTGAAGGTGCATGAGAGTAGTGAAAGGCTCTGCAAGCTCTATATACACTGCTTTGAAAATTCTTATGTTTTCGCTGAGCCCTTGTTCGTTGTCATCCGGGACGAAGCTGTATTCTTTTATTGAATATGCTGCAGTATATCTATCGACAAGTCTTTTGGTTGAGCTATTCCTTTTCCTCCTGTCTTCAGCAGTATCACAACTAGTTGACATTCTCTATATCTCCAAGATATATATGCTCCATTCTTTATATTCTTATGGTTTTTGTTCAGAACTACTCTTATAAATATAACTGAAGTAGAATGAAGGAAATATACAATAAGGAATGACGAAAAAATGAAAACAGGGAGAGGAGAGTATGATGTTGACAAATTGAAGAAGGACCTGCCAAGAACGCTACATTTGTTTATCATAGCATGTTGGGGTCCTGTATGCGTTGAATTTAACGGAAGAGAGAGAGTTAAAAAATAAATTTTATGGAATGTAATTGCATATACCACATACATTATTTGTACCTATTTGCTGGTCTCCTTTTGAGATGATCCAGATTGATGCCTACCGAGCGAAGTTTGATTGGATTTTTCACTACTTTTTTGCTTGAATAAGCTGAATATGCGTGATTTTCAGGTTCCGGAACAACAACTTGGAATGGGTATCGGCAAAAGAACTCGTGGAATCTTAGTAACCAGCCTTCAGCCAGGATCTAACGCAGCAGAAAAGCTTAAAGTCGGAGACAGGATTCTAGCTGTGAACGGATTACCAGTGACAGACCAAGTAAGGTTCTTCATCGATTTTTGGTATCTTCGTGGCAGAAGGGTAGAAAGAGAGAAAGAGAGAGTTTATGAAAGGATGATGATCACGAGGACTGTTCTGCTCATGGCCCACGATCACCCCGTCCTCCGGTCAACCAAATGGCTGGAATTCATAATGTTGGTGGAATGAGCTAATTCGAGATAGTGTAATGGTCCATGAAATGCAAGACGATTGGTTACTAAACGTTTTCTTACAAATCCACACTTGTGTAGTGAAAAAGAAGATTATGGTGAAGCTAAACGATGTGCTTCGATATGTTTGAAAAATGGAATGGATTAAAGAAGATTTTAGTCCGTTTGACTTGCAGAAGTTGACATCAGTCTTCCTTTCTGCTTTTGGGGAATGGCAATAGGAGAGAGTTTTTTCCAGAATAAGAAAGAAATTGCCATTAATAATTGAAATTCCATATATAAACTATTCGTTTTCAGCTTTCTGCCGTTACGTTCGTTAAAGCAAGTGGAGAACGTCTGTTTCTTCAAATTGCCCGCCCAAGAAACTCGCCTACGTGACGTCAGTTAACGAGAGCCATCCCTTCATCAAACTAGGAATAGGAGAAACGCCTCTTTGAATTTGTTTTTGTCGTTCTCTCGCTCATTCCCTTCTGCGCTTAGCCTCCGCCCCTCCTCGTCTTCTTCTACTTCTCCTTTCCTTCCTTCTTGTTCTTTTTATTCACAATCGTCGCCTATCCGTTTTCCCCAGTTCAGTTCATATTCAAGACTTCACACTCCATTTTTCTTGCCATTCAGGGGCATTGCATTGAATTTTTGTTTATTTCTCATCTATCTCGCTCTTTTCGTTGTCTCATGGGTGCATCATGATAACTAAGTTTTAAAATTCGTGATATTGAGCAATTCCGGTGTTAAGCGATAGGGAATTTTCTGAATCCCATCAGTAGTTTTTATAATATAAATAGAAGATTTCTAATATTCTGTTGTGTAATATCAACTCATAGTGATTTCATAGTGTTTAACATGTTCATAGGAGCACACTGCCTCTACCACGGGGAGATTCCCCTTTCATTTGATTTATCCAGGTTTATCTTCGTTTTCAAATACTACGAGAACGGTTAATTATAGTCTCATAACAAAGTTCAGTTCTTTTTTGTCAACTCAATTGTGAATAACTTTATGAGGGTTCGCCCTCAGCAGGTTATATATGTGTATAGATATCCATATACATATATTTTATAAAATTTCATCGAGTTTTAGTTCACTTCATATCTCATGTTTTGTTTTGACAGGACAAATCCAATTGATCGCAATAAACTCATTGTAGGCTCAGATAAAGAATAACTATGACCGGAAAAGTTTAATGGTGTCCGATAAGATATTAACGAGGAACAACTTTCTCATATTTTGCCCTCCATACCCTGCGTTGGCGTGGTAGCTTTTCTAAACATAGTTTAGTTCTGCCAACCATCGAACAGGTTACTCAATCTAGAGTTACGTCATATTTGTATCCTTTTTCGTATTTGGACGATTTGAACACATATTCTACAGTTCGATTCGTCCCTTACTTGAACTATGGAAAGAAATGTATTCACAAACTGTAATAGGAAAACAATAACTTGAACGTGAGCCTTTGAAAAGAACTTTCTCGTGCAATCTATCCAAAATAAAAGTTGCATCGACTAGTCTATGCAACAATGAATTTCATCCTGATCGGAAAAATACGCTGAAAAGCGCCCCTCATTAACATTCGTTTAATGAGAACAGTATGAAAGTTCAAAATTGGTCAGAAATGAATGATGCAGTAATCCTGAGAATAATAATGATCTACTTGAGCAACTAAGAGGAGTTATTTATTATACATACTACAGATTATTTATCATAGTTAATAATAGCGAAAATAAGGTGTTGTTTTAATTCTTGTTTTCAAGCCTGGTAATCATTGATGTTCCATCTACAAACCTTGTTCTATACAGAACGTTAGCATGATTGAACATTCCTTCCTTTAGCGAAACAATAATGAACTACAAAATTTTAGAACGTATTCATGTTCAATTTAAAATGATCTAACCTGACTGTTTGTAAAATGCTTTTTTATCATATGACCGATGTTTTGAGTATGAGATAGGTCCAGGGCAGAGTCCACTTCGTCCAGAATATAAATGGGCGCTGGCTTGAACTTCAACATAGCCAGCACCAATGAGAGAGCTACCAACGACCGCTGACCTAAAACGAGTTTATTACGACGAATCTTAGAGAATCGAACCTCCAGACAGCTCGTTCAAAGAGTCTTTCCATTTTCCATTGAAAGATACTTTAACTTCTAACCCTTCCAGAGCAGTTTTGCCTTGAGGAGGATCCAACTTCGCTCCAGCCCCAGGCAAAAGTGTTGAGAAAATATTTCCGAAATCCTAAAGAACAAAATAAATCCCAACGGCAATGAAAACCAATTGTAAAATAATTCTTGCTTCAGTGTGTTTGATCAATCATAAGAATTCAGATTAAATCGTAGAAAATATATAACATCATTAGCAAGGCCACAGGGAAACCTGAACCAAGGAGCCGTTCCTTGTGTTCACAACGCACTCGTTGCGCCAGTTTGCCTCTAAACTAACCCGATTAACTTGAGTATGTGCCTTTATTATCTCGGCCTCTTTCTTTTTGTCTAATAAGGAAATAGTGTCGAGCAGCTTTTGTTTGTCGCTCTCTATTTGAGTTTTCTTCCGAACAAGCGACATCAACTTAATAAGAAAAATATATTCATATGAATTCTAATAACAGGATATCGAACCCTTTCCTCGGCTGCTCCCAATAAATTCATGGCAGTCATGTTTAGAGTTTGCTCCAAACTTTTCTTCTTCTCCTGGATGGACTGAATTTGTGCTGATCCTTTTACATCGTTGTAACTTGAAAGCAATTTTATACAAGATTTAAAAAGTCATCATACTCTGTGAAGTCATAATCTGTATCTTTTCTTCCAAAATGTATTTTTTCGTCGTCTATCCAGGCATTCTTTTCCAACTCCTTCTTAGCCTAAGACACAGTTTTCAAAGCAATAATCTGTAAACATTACCGTTTTCTTGAATAGCACAGCATCATGTTCGTTCTTCTTAATGTCCCTCTCCAGTACAGCAATTTCGTTCGTCTGAAACAATCTCTCGTTTCCAAACAAATAGCTGTCAAGAGATTTACTCACATATTTCAGCTTCTTTTTCTTACAATCATCAATTTGTTGTTGAATCGTCTTGATATCCTTATCATAAAGCCGAAGTTTCCCTAAGAACTTTTCGAGAACCGCTTCGGCTGTCCGTACTTCTTGCTAGAAAACCGTAGTATTAAATAGTAACATAGCTATCTGTAAGCGTACTCTTGCATCTTCCAACTCCTTCTCATTATTCTTCTGTTTATCAGTTAATATTTTCAATTCCTCACTTCTACTCTCGACTTCTACTTTTTCTTGTTGGATTTGGAGTTGTAAGTGCTCCACTCCAGCTCTGCAGATGTTAATTTGAATAGCTTGCTATAGCTACGAATCCTACCGAAGAATATCCAACGCTGATCTAGCTTCCGCGAAGGAAGACTTGAGTTTATCTAAATTAGTCTCGGCAGATTTCAGTTCCGCTGTCAATTTTTTCTTCTCATTCTCCTGAAAGAAAGTCAAGTAAACAAATGAGAGAACTGACAACCTGGAACGCCTTCTCATTTTTTTTTCGAGATTCATAATCTTTTATTTTCTGATTCAACTCTTTTATTCTATCTTGATTGCTTCGAATAGTTTCCTGGCATTCTGGTAGCTCCTTTAATGATGATGACGTGTATAAGATTTAACTTCGCAGATCCTACTTTCTCTATAGCTTCGACTTCATCCTTCAATAATTGGAGAGGGGTATTCTTTAAACTCTCTTTTAAAGACTCCAGTCGTCCAACAGACTTGTCTAACGTATCTTTTAGACTGAAATATGTCTTCCTTTCGGAATCCATATCAAGCAATTTCTCTTCAAAAATAATTACATTATCAAGACAATTATTTACGATTTTTCTGGAAGGAAGGAAACTCACTTGATATAGCTTCGACTTCAGTTTTCTTAGCTTTCAATTCTTTCCTATAGGTTTGATATGGTAGGAGGTGCATCAGCAAAGGGGTTTTTTTCTCTAGGGCTCCTTCAAAGTAAGGGTTGCTCTGTGACTAGTGATAAAGCTTATACCTCCACTGCATGTTCCGTTAGGTCTGTTGTCATCCCCTCTTGTTGTAACAGTGCGGAGCTTGATGTCGGCATTGTAAGTGATGTCACTTGCCAATTTTGGATCTTCCAGAACTAGGATCTAGAAAGTAAAGTCCGGTTACTGGAATTAAACTCTTTCTTCACATCCCCTCAAACATTATGTTCCTTAGTACAATCAGCACTCGTTAAGAAACACCAAATTTTCATTATTTTTGGATTGACTGAGTCGATTTCTTCTCCTTCCGGAGCGCTTTCCCGCAATGGAAAACAAGCACCAGCAACAGCATAGACAGCAGCAGTCGTCACGATGAGTCGTCTCGTCCAACCCTCTTTCCGTCAATTCCCCTTCGCTTTAGCACCATCCCATCTCATCTTTGTTGTTCTCTTTTTTTATCCATATATTTTTTGAAAAAACGTTTTGAAAAACAAAAAAAAAGAAGTTCTAGCTTCTAGCTCCTAACATTCTAATTGAAACACCCTCTCAATCGAAATTGGCAAATGGCATCAAATTACAGCACTTCAATTGACATTTGGCTCACTCTTATTCTCAAACTTCTTACCAGTTTCGTTCGTTTTATTTCAGAACTCTAATCTAAAACTTCATCTTCAGTATGCCTACACCCTATGCTTAAACGAATCGACTAATTTTCTTTTTCTTTCTAGCCTCTAATGTCTTTAACATATAGAATGCTTCTATAGTGCTATTCGTCTATTTTGGAAAACGTCGAATAAAATTTCCACTTACTCCATTCAACATGTATTCCATAGCTTGTTGATAAATTGGATCATATTCAATGAGGTCTATTGCCAGCTGGATGTCCTGATCCTGTCTTCTTGCTATCTGTAAACATGATGAAACTAAAACAAAACGATCAACACGTGTTCTATATATTTGTATACGATGTTTCATTACTTCCTTGCGTAGTACCTCCCAGCGCCGAGGGATTTTAGAATTCTTATTGTCCCGCAGCCCTCATATATTATGTCTTTGATCCTGGGGGGAATTCGCTATCATAAGCGAGATCTTACATCACGAATTTTTTGATAAATTTCAGAGCGAAAACGAAAAATCAAGAAAACGAAAGACATCGCAGAAGGCGAGTTACTCAAACTATTGCTAATACAATTAATTTCTCAGCTCATCTTCCCAAAGAACGCCAGTCGTACCTCATTAAGTATTGTATTTTCACGTTTCAAGACTTGGAAAAAAAATCTACACTCACTTCTTGAGCCTTCTTGAATTTAGCTTGGAATTCTCTTTTATCCGAACTGACATTGAGTGAGTCAAGAGGGATGAAAGTTCTGCGAGAGTGAACAAGTCCCTTATCTACAAGCATAGCTGCAACCTTCTGACGAGCAACAACAACATAGAAGAGCTAAAAAAAAATATTAAAGAACTTACTTCTCTTTTAAATTTTATTGCCGCACTCAGTTTTTAGTATGATAATTCATAACAATTTCAGAATGTCGGAAGAGATAATACGACTGAATGTAGGGGGAGCATCCTATTCAACAACAAAACAAACCCTGAGCCAAGAGCCTAATTCGATTTTTTCACAACTGAACAATCAGTCTTCTCAGTTCCCGAACGGGATAGTCAAATTAAATGACGGAGTTTGGTTCATTGACAGGGATGGTGATCTTTTCTCACACATTTTACAATACTTGCGATCAGGAAAGCTAATACTACCAGAAGGGTTCCGAGAATTCGCTAGATTGAGGGATGAAACCGAGTTCTATCAAATAGAGTCACTTAGAGAAAAGCTGATTGCTTCTTCTCCTATCAACACAATGAACCGTTTCAAAATGTCTAACGGAGGTTTAATCACCAGCGGAGAAACAGGTAAAGTTTATATACACCGAGTTCATTCATGGTATTTCTAGTTATAGGTGGGTACATCACTCTCGGCTATAGAGGAACCTTCGCGTTTGGTCGCGATGGTCAAGCCGATGTGAAGTTTCGAAAACTTCATCGCATACTTGTTTGTGGCAGAGCTACTTTATGTAGAGAAATATTTGGCGACACTTTAAACGAAAGCAGAGACCCTGGTGGACCAGACGATGGCGAACGATACACTTCCAGACTATATCTTAAACACCAATGCCTCGAAAGAGTGAGATTTCTCTGCTTTTCAATTCATGTTTAAGCAACTTTAGGCTTGTGATTTGATGGCGGAAAAAGGTTTTAAGCTTGTGGCCACTTGCTGCAGCGGAGCTAATGGCTTGGCCGCTGCTAACCATCCTGTCTTGACAGGCCAAGGGGGACCCACAAGTCAAAGTGTGAGTAAGAGAAACTATTCACTTTCTTAGAAGACTAGGCATATATTAAGCTTTATGAGAATTAGCGTTCGAGTTTATAAAAGTTAGAAAATATGAGGTTTAATCATCTCAAGTGCGAGCAAAAAGGCGATTCTCAACCAGACTAATCCAATCACATCAAGTTCTGAGAAATTGACATTTCCATAAATCATCCCAGACAATGAAGAAAGAAGACATAATGGATAAGCGATTAGCTCAGATAGAAGAAAAAAAATTTAACTACTATACTTTCAGGACTTAATGAATCATAGAAATTGCGGAGACTACGAAGAACAACGATGGGCTCATTATACGGAGTACGTATTTTATCGCGAACCTATTGGAACATCATTACTTTCATCACCAAGAGAAATTTGATACTTTTTGCGACTATGAATATTCTTAGCTTTCTGTATATATGTCTACCGATTATATACTTACTAACTTGCGACGTTTGTAGTAATGAATATTTCAAAACACGAGTTAAGAAAATTGGAAAACCAAACCAACCGATCCTCCTAATGCTGTCTCTACAGCAGTAGCGTATTTAGGGTCTTTCACTTTGAATAAAGTACAAGCTACTCCATGTATTTCAGCATCCCTATCAAAATCTTGATGGGGATTAGTAAAAGTGAACTCGAGTCTTGCATCTCTGAAAATCAACACTCATTCGCGAAACTTACTTCAGACAAACCGGTTGAGAATATCTGACATTTTACGACTCAAAGCTTGACATTCCTGTTTCAGAACAGGGAGCTTTTCCTGCATTATATTATCCTCCTCGGGGTTATAACTAATAGCTTTCATATTGTTCTGGAAGGTTAGGACATGACATACATGAGAACGACCTATAAAACCTGGCATAATCTTATATCAGTTTCTAGTGTAGCCATTTCATTCGCGCCCGCAGAATCTTTTTTAGAAAAAGTTTGCAACTCTTTCTTCTTTTGAGTTAACTCTGGGAGTAATTTTTTCTGCCTAAAAGAAAACAGGAATGCAATTCTGTAGTTGTGGGTAACCTCATTTCTGCCGTTTTTACAGCAGTTTGAATTTCACTCAACTCGGTCCTGGTTGCTGGAAGACAAAATACAAATGACCAGATCAGAAAAAAAACCTGTTATCTGAGCCTCAAGCGTAACCGCCTCCCCTTTATCATTTGTAGTTAATCCTTTTGCCAAAACTTCCAATTTATGTTTAGCTTGTTTTACAGCCTGAAGTGATAAAACAAAAACCTAAAGTGAAGGAGGCAAATACTTCTTCCGCAGCGCTTCCAAGTTCTTCTTTGTTGCCAAACTTTCCTTCTTGCTCTCTTAATTTAGCCTGATTTCTCAGCATCTCGGCTTTATCCTAAAACAGTGGTTCATTGCGAACAGAGTTAGTTTAACATACGGACTCAATAGTTTTCTCTAATCTTTCCAGTTCTTTCTTATTACTGGTAAATTCTTCAGCTATGCTGTCTCTTTCAGCTTCTTTCTCAACTAAAACACTTTTGGCATTTTTCACAACACCATCGATGTCTGTCCGTTCTTCATTATTTTTCTGAAATTAAAAATCATTCGCCTATTAACTTTTGAAGATGGAAACCATTTTTCTTTCTTGCTCCTTTTCATCCAAAAGTTTCATTAACTCCATTTTTTTGCTCTCTAAGCCTTCAATTTCTTTTTCCATTGATCTTAGTTTTTGAGACAATTCCTTGCTCTGTTCTTCCAACTGCTCAGAAGCTCTCTTAAGAAAAGATTATTTCATCACGAAATGAAACAAGAACTAACCAAGCTATCTTGATAAACAAATGCTGCTAATTTCCTTTGAGCACTCTCAATATCTCTCTCACATTTTTTCCATTCGTTATAATTCACACGATCAGCCTTTAAACGTTCAACAGTAGGTTTGATCTGGTCTTGAAGAAGCTAAAGAGAAAAACTATCAGAGTAACTATCTCAGACTTAAACCTTGTTGATTTCATCAACTTTGGCTTCTTTTTTTTGAATTGTCGAGAGAGCAGAAATTCGTTTAGCTTCGTACATTTTTGTTCCAGCTGCTTCTTCAACCATACCCAAAATCTAAAAAAATCTAAAGTAAGTCGATGAAACTATTAATGATCACCTCATGGGGCTTCATGTTCAAGACTTTTGTGATACGACCCTGCATAATCAGAAAATGGGGGTTATTGACATTAAGTCCAACTCCGCGAAAAAAGTCAGAAACCTAATTAAGAAAGATTTAGTTTAGTCTTTCATCCTACACCAACCTTAGCGTTTGTGATCGCACTACCATTTATCGTATAAGAGTTTCTTCCATTAACAACAACCTGAAAATGTAGAATAACAGTTTGAATAATCAGAAGTAACCGTACTTGCCGCCTCACAATAATTTCATCATAGCTACTATAACCTAAAGGTCCGCAAGTTTTATCCTTATTGTCAAATGTTATTGTTACAGTGGCTTTGTTTACACCGGCTTGTCCACTTTTATATACAAGAGCGTTCATACTTTCTGAACAAAAAAATTCAAATACAAAAAAACTCGAACAGACCAGCTCGAATGCATTTCAGGTCGTTGATCCCTAATACAAAACAAATAGAGTCTAAAATATTCGACTTTCCTGATCCATTTAACCCTAAAGTCAAATTAAGAGGTAAGTGCATATTTGCCGTTTAACCTGTGATGGCGTTGAATTGCAGATCAAAGTTATCGACAACTTGCTTCTGGGCATAAGATTTAAAACCGTCGATTTCAACTCGTTTGATATGCATATTTTATTGATTATAGCACATATTATTCAAGTGAAACAATTAAAAGAAGAAGTTATACAACCGCAAGGAGCAGATGTATATGTGCAGAACTGGAGGGAAATTCAAATTGCAGGTCAGGGCGGGAAAACACAGATATGGACGCCAAAGCATCCTTGAGACATTCGGTCAAACTATCAAGTCCGTAGTTGCATAGTCTTCTTTTGATGAATTAGGTGCATGCTCAGTTCCAGCTGAGGAAAACATGTATTACTAATTGAATTATTATTCAATTGTCTCCAGTAAACTTGCACGCTGTTTACTGATTTCAAAATTTCAAAATCTCTGTGGTTTCTATTATGATTTACATATGAATCTGATTCGGTTGTTGTTTGAAGAATGGATGGTCTTCTATAGTAGAGGAATTACCTTAGCAGTTCCAATTTGTTGTCTTTTGCAGAATGTCGCAACCTTTCCGTGATTCCACTAATAAAACTCCCGTTAGCAAGCTTATGAAAAATATGGGCGACTTATCTTTAAGGACTTTCGGTGGATCATCTAACGTTTCTATGATCCAAGCGAAAGTAAGAAGTTGAACTAATTTCATAATTTATCATCTGAAGTATTTTCAGAAAGGTTTGAGACGAAGAGATGTTACTCCTACACGAAATGCTAGTTACATTAATACCTCAGTTATGGGAGACAGATTCATTGGGATTCGACGAACTGAACCAGAACAAGAACTTGCCAATCATTTATTACAACAAGTATGTGTGTATCCGATCGTTATATATTGAGTTTTTGTATTAGGCTCCTGACACTTCGTTCAACACATCTTACTCCTTGCCAAATTCACCAGTGAAACAAACCGGAAAAGATCAGCTGAAGAAATTGATGAGATGTAAGAGGAATTGTATGAAAGTTTTGGACATTTCTTTCAGCCAAATCCGCGTCAAACTTGGAATCTAACGAAGAGGAGAGAATACTTGTCTACAAAAAAAACGCTGCTCCTCTTCCTGCAGTGGGTCATCTCAGCCAAGCCAAGGTAATTGTCTTTTACATAGCTCTACTAATCCTATTTTATATTCATTACAGGTGCTTTATTCTGCATCTTGCGTGAGACCATCGTCTTCTGTTAAAAAAAGCACGCGTTATATCCCGCAAGTGCCTGAGAGAATTCTAGATGCTCCGGATTTCAGAGGTAGAACATCCTACATACTATGTTCATAAGTTATGAACTCAATTTAGATGATTATTATCTGAATTTAATTGATTGGAGTAGTAATAGTATAGTAGCCGTAATTCTTGGCTTTTCGCTCTATTTGTGGAATGCTGACAATGGGGAGATTCAGCTTCTCTTCGAATTAGATGGTAACTCGCACGAGCAACCAACGTCAGTGAAGTGGGCTAAGGATGGTCATCACCTTGCCGTTGGATTCAACGATGGTTCATTGAGAGTAATTTTTGTTTCTTCAACTAGATTTCAAAGTTATGTCAGATTTACGATCCAGAAAGACCAATGCCTTCCAATGGCCGCCTTGAGCTGCGTACAATGAAAGTTCCTATTCAAAGTCGTTGTGGTAATGTTGAACTGTTTTTAAGGTATTAATTGAAGAATTAAGGCTCGTTGGCTTGGAAGGGAGCTGTCGCTTCAGGCGGATACTTATCAGGCCAAATAATTCATCACGATGTTAGGGTAGCTCGTCATATAATTGGGTGTGGAAAAGAAAGCAGACATGTAATAAGTTTTAACATTTCAGCTCTTTCAATGGCCATCACCGTGAAGTTGTTGGTTTACACTGGTCCCCTGGTGAAAAGTATTTGGCTTCTGGAGGGTGTGATAACACTGTTCGTCTATGGGATAGCGATCGTGTGGGAACCGGAGATGTTTCGGCAAGTTTGTCATTGTTATAAGCTTCACTAATTATTTTTACAGGAAAGCGTTTACACTTTTGATGATCATATAGGCTCCGTACGAGCCGTACAGTTCTGTAACTTTAAAGCAAGCATATTGGCAACAGGTGGCGGTTTAACCGATAAAACAATCAAAATTTGGAATATTCATAGTGGAGAGTTAATGCACAATATTAACACTGAGTCCGCGGTAGGAAAAAAAATAGGAATTATTCAGCTAGAATTTGTTTTAAGGTTAATAGTATAGTGTTTAATCGGGACTATAAAGAAATGATGACTGCACACTCATCAGGGCAGTTACATATTTGGCAATATCCCTCGTACGCCAACACATGTATTTTAAAAGGTACAAAAACTTGGTTATTTTGCCTACTTTTTTGGTTCCAGGACATCAACCAGAACGAGCCGTGTCATTGGTAGCGTCGCCATGTGGGCAGTACGTAATGAGTGCCGGAGCCGATGAGACGTTGAGATTATGGATTCCATTCAAGGTATCATAGACCTTTTTTTCTTAAAATGATGATATGCTTCATTAAGGTGGATAAAACGACTGCTAAATTAACCAGTCAAAATAAATTAATGGGTATGAATGTTCGTTAATTGTATTTAAGTAGGCTAGATTTAACACTCGATGTATCATGCTATTGTATTAATGGTCTAATGGTAGTATACCAGTATATTGTTTTGATCTTATAAAGTTGTATACTTTCCATATTTTAACACTCATACAGTCTGACCCACTAATACCGTTTAATTTGCATGAAATGAGCATAAACTCTTTTGTTATTTATTGTTATTTTTTATGCTAAGGTCGTATATACTTTTTTGTTGAGCAGTAGTACTAAAACATCATTCTTGTGATGTGTTCCTCCCATGGAAACCTTGAAGTTCGAGTTGTCCAGCACTTTGTTGAAATCTGATTTTCCACGCTGCAAGTAGCCAAACCTGGATGATTAATTGGGTTGAAACGTCTTAATCTTTTGAAAGAATAGTTCATTGAATGTAAGTTGAAAACTTCTGATACAGAAAAGGCAGATATTTGCAGGAAGAATTCAGTCAGCGCTCGAGATAATTTTTGAGCCGTTGTGAATCAATTTGATTCGAAAAGCTGCATCTACTGAAGTGAAGAACCATTTCAGTCTGATCTTGATTACTTCCTCTTTTCTTTGTTATAGATCATTAAATAAACAACTGAATCGATTCGATATACTGTTTATAAGTGTTCTCTTCACTCATTGTTTATATGATTCAGTAATTGTTTAATTTACGTTTCTTGATATTTGTAGCAACACTTTATTGTTGGAACAATGGTGCAATGGGAATTTTTCTTGACTCGTCCCTTCGGTCAAATTATGGCTCTCCAGACTGTAAGTGAATGCGTTTATTTCTTTAATGATTACAATTCTTAGATTTTTTCACTATTGTCGATGCTTGTCGCCTATTTTGCAGAATTTTGGATTGAAGGCATAGCTACAATCCATAGTTTAGTATTCGGTTTATTCCTAGCAACTCTGATAATCAATTCACTTCATTTATTCAATTTGAATAAAAGAGTAGTGACACTATCAGCCGGAATCAATTTGTTTTTCCCTTGTACGTTACTGGTTAGTATTTGGGAGTAGAAAAACGAAAAACTGTTTATTTCAGCTTTTTGCAATTTCTTTAGTTTACACATTGATCATGGGATTTGGATCTCTGATAGCTCTGATCGGATTCGTAGACTCTTTCCGTTTCACACGCAAGTACATGATTACTTACGCGCTTTTATCAGTAAGTTCTTACGATCTTAGAATCACATGTTGTTTATTGCTGAAAGCGCCATCATTGAATAACACACGCCTCCGTATATCTTCGGAGAATAGTGCTGAAATAGGATTGGCGATGGCCAACGAAAGATTGAGGAGATGGTAGTATGCGAAGAGAAGATCAAACATGGCTTTCTGAAAGAATTCTTCAGATAATTCACAGTGTGTTGAAACTTACCCACCGGAAGAACATTGAAATGACTCCTATAGAATAATAAGCGAAAACGAACCATAACGATATGTACACAGAAATTGATAGAAAAGTTAAAGTTTTCTCAGTTTTTAAAGACCTTCAAAAGATCTTGGTTCTGTTTGTATGAATAGGGAAAGTCTTACCGGCGCTTGACACAATTCAGTACTGCTATGTTTTGCATCACTTGGCCATAACAGATTGTTGAAATAAAAAGGGATATTATACACATTATAGACGCTATTCCCGAGAAAGCTTGCTGAACATTAGGTTATGAATCCAGTTTAAATTATTTGCTCACCAGCATTTTCGGATTCTGGTAACAAGCAGCTATTACATAGCTCTGCCCCATAATGTAGACATATCTCGGAGCACCTGGGAACAGTATAAGAGCTGTTGTCATTGTTGGAAATACGAGTATTAGTAGAGAGAATCCGAAAGTGGATACGCTATCGAATTTCTAAAACCGATCTCATTCTGTGAAATAGATCAGTTGACTTACCACTGTAAGTTCTGAAGTCGGTTTGCAAATCTTCAAATATCGATTAAGGGAGATTATGCATACTCCGATCATTTGACTCAAGACGACAGCCCCATTCATGGTGCCAAGGATGCTTGGTAAGGGAGTGGCATTGAGCTTCATCCAGAAACCCCAAGTGTGCGGCATGTTTCGAACAAAAGCAATAATGTAGCAGAGTAAGCTCAGTAAATCAGCTATAGCCTGAAAAAAGAGTTTCAAGTAGACTTCAAGCGAATTGTGTGTATTTTATTGAAATCATTGATCATAAAGTATCAAAACTAGTTAAGGTTTCTTTACGTTTCTATATTCGTTATGAGTTGATCAGATAAGCTTAATATAGCGCTTTAAATATCAAAAATCTGTGTTCTTTATGCTCACCTGAACAGTCCAAATTCGGAAAAAAGTGGAAGTGAATGGAGAGTACTTGCGATAGGAAAGAACAACTCGTAATTCGAGTAGATAAAGAATAATAATAATCAAAGACATTCCCAAACATGGCACATGAAATTCGGGCCTATTAAGCCATCGGCCTTGTCCAATTTCTTCAAAACTTGGGATAGATGCATTTTCGTCGGGGCAAGTCATGTAAGAGAGCGGTGTACGACTCTCAGCACATCTGGTCTGGGATCTAAACATAAGGAAATCCTTTTGAGCATAAAATAAGTGATGAACGAGAAAAAAGTTTATTTTGTGGAACAAGAGATCGGTGGCCGGAAAAAAAAGAACTATAAGATGAGCCACTTTCAGATTTCTCCGAAAGTGATAGCAAACAGTATGTGGGAAAAGGGCGGTAAAGCTTTAGAGTAGAGTCAATAAGCTGCTTATTGTAAATTAGTAATTGCGAAGACAAGTGAAAAAAAATTGAGGAAGAAGCAAAGAATGGCTTCAAACAAGCTTGATAGACTTAACCATGTTTGTTTCAACTTCTGTTTTTTCCAGTGTTGTTATATCGCCTTGACGTTCATTTGTGGATATTTGGTAGTCTTGCTCGGTCGTGCTGCCCCGAATGGCCAAATTTTCGGTCTAGCCACAGTGATAATTGAAGGAGATAAAACATCAAGGTAATCAAAAAAGTAAATATGAATAAAATTAGAGAAAATGCAAAAATGGGAATGTTTTGTTTGTTATTTTTCAGAAAGATTGGTGCGAGTATTGGGAGTGAAAAGTCATGATATTATATTGGCAGCGGTAGTTTTTAGTCACAGGATAAGAATTTGAGGACACCAAGGAAATAACTTTGGCATGATTTTGAAGAATGCGTTGAAATTTTGAGAGCGGAAGGAAACAAAGAGAATAGGATGATGATGAGAATGAGGAGGTGGAGTCTCTGGCTCAATTACATACATGGATGTTTGAGCTGAACTCACTCTTTGTGATGATGACGACAACTAAGTGTTTTATTGAAAAAAAGTCTTGAATTCCATAAAAGTTTTTATCGCAGAAGTTGAGTTACTGTTTTTGAAAATTATTTTGTTTCGTCTTTACACTCCCCAAACATAATAATTGCATTTGAAAAACAAAATACTTGTCTTAGTTCCTGATGAGTTGAGCAGTAATTTAATAGAGAAGTCCTTTACTAAAGAACATTGGTTTAGATTTGAACATTCTGCTCCAAGATTTTCACCGGTCACGACACCTTCTTCTGGACCACAACACATTTGATTTAAATTTAATCTGCTCACTCAACGTAAGTTGATTAACATAACTTCATGAATCATATAGCGGTTTGTATGTATCATTGTTTCATGTGATCTGTTCCATTCCATTCTTCTTACTCATCTTCTTTCGTTCAAGCCTTTCTCATCTAAGTTTAATTCAAAAATTCTTTTAATGGTTGAAAAATAAATATTCGTTTGCTAGTTTCTGCGATCCTCCACCTATTAACCATGTATATACTAGACGACATGATCCAACTCATAAATCGGATGAACCTCCCAGTAATGCGAAACTATAGTAGTAACATATTGTTAGTGGTAATTTTCCAAACGGCTCTTTTTCGTCAAAAACTCTTTTAAAGAAATCTTTCGAAAATCGGTTTTGTTGTTGTAGAACAGAATTTAGCTAAAAGATAAGACTGTCTTTCATGCTAGTGCAAGCTAGGTCGTGTACGATAAAGTTTTTTTTATTGAACTGATATGAGATGTTTTCATCAATTTTGAGTTCTATTGCTCTTTTTTTTGAACAAGGTGTGGCCTACAATTTCATTCTCCTCATCATGCTCGAATTATAGACACATTTACAATCCATTATATTTCTCAGTACTGTGAATGATAGACAACGTTTTATAGCTTTTAGATTGTCTCGTTCCAAACATAATTCGTATTTCATTTTACATCGTTGCTACTTTTTTCATCACAAAAACGTTCTCCTTTAAAAAAAAATATTCTTTTTTTCATGTTCTTCAGATGACATGATGACTATATGAAAGAAGTTCGTCTGTCAACTATCTAGTTTTACTTCTCTTTCCCAAGCCATACTAACCTGATTTTCTTCTTTTGTACTCCATCTGTAGTCGTATCTTTTCCAATCCTGAAAGCAAGGAGAATATTATAAGAGAGCTGATGTTAAGAGAGAAAGATGGTAGAGAAACGAATGTTCCCAAACAAGGAATCTAGCGTGCTATGAAATATCCATCCAATTCTCCTGTTACTGCCGATAGGAAGTATTAACTTATCACCAACGAGCTTTTTTATACATATATTAGCATTATTATTAATCAGCTGGATTATCATATGAAATGATGTAGAAACATTGTGAATTTGTTTGTAGGCTCAATGACTACGATTCTCGTCTATCTCTCTCCGCAAATCACACTATTGTTATGTTATGTACATTGTTTTAATACTTGTCAAACAATACTTTTTTGTATTTTTCTATGCACACACCTGCTCATTTTATACCAGAGATTGATTTTTGAGCATTTACCTCCAAAAATGGCTATTAATCTTTTTACTAATTAAATAACCCGGCGTTGCTAGGCAAGCAGTCCGTAGCAAAGCGGCCTAGGTTCTTCGCAAATTGTTTTTCAAAGATCATTTTGTCGTTTTAAGAAACGGCCATCAATTCAATTGTAAATAATTTTTAAAAATTTAATGCAGCTTATCTAGCGTGACGACACATTCTTGAATTATATCAAGAATGCTTGTCCTGTGCAGTTTCTTTTTTCTTTACTTTCCGTGTTTGAATTTTCAATTCAGGATCGAAATACTGAGAGCCAAGAAAGAGTTTACATGGGCTCCTTTAGTATTTAGCTTTCCTTTAGGAGATTCGCGCATTTCAGTCATAATAAAAAATTTTATATTTGCTTTTTGAATTTGAATTTGTATAAAATTGATAAATGTTGAGCAAATGTTTGTTTGGAAACAAGTATAGCTGTCCTCTTTGGCGATCATTTACTAGTTGACTACATCTCAAGTCCTCTCTCAACGTTGCATTTCTTTCTTACTTTATTTCTATTTTCATTTTCTTTGAACGGCTCCATCATCTTTGAAAATGACCTTTCGAGTATACTACAATTGTTCCTACCTGTTCTTATGATCGATTATTAGTTCTTAGTATATGTACCTTTCATCAAAAAAGCGTATGAGAAAGAGAAAGCTTCAATGCAACTACTCTGTATACAATTAATTTCAACAATAAACATCAATCCGCCTCAAATGTGGCAATTAGCATATTTTCGTTTTTATGTTAATTAAACGTATTCACGCAGTGTTCTTCTTCCTTGCAGGTATTTTCATATTAAACATGTGTCGACGACGAAACTTGTCTTTGGCTCATGAATTGCTCCGACCAGTTATAATCATACTATTACTATCTATATTTCTATTATTTACTGTTCACTCCAACACGAAACTCATGAAAACAACAAGACAAGCTACAATACCTCCTGCGGAACCACCGCTATTGATTCTGATAACGCCTACGGGAAAGCGATTAGAACGACTAGCAGATATGACAAGGTGAGGAAGAAGTAAGTTCGGAAATTATACAGTTCTATTAGAGTGTCTCAAACATTGGAGCATATTGATAATATACACTGGATTGTAATAGAAGACGGTAATCAAACTGTGCCTGCGGTGGAGAATGTTCTGATTCGTAGTAAAATTCCCTACATTTATCTCAACACGGTTTCTAAACCCGGTTTCCCTAGTACTTTTTTTGATTTTTTTCATGTTTTTTCTCACTTTTTTAGAGCGTGGTTGGTCGCATCGAAATTTGGCATTGGAGTTCGTGCGGCAAAATTATCAGAATAAGTCAGGTGTTGTTTACTTTGCTGATGATGACAACACTTATGACAAAAGGATATTTGACCATTATATTCGTAAAGTCAAAAAAATCGGCTTTTGGGCTGTGGGTATGTATTGAAGTACTAAACGAGTTTGTAATGTTCTCATGGTAATATAGGATTAGTTGGAGGTGCTTATGTAGAAGCTCCAAACGTGGAAAAAGGAAAAATTAAAAGTTGGAATGTAGTGTTCGCACCAAATCGACAGTTCGCTACTGACATGGCTGGCTTTGCAGTAAACTTATCGCTGATTTTGAAAATGAAGTAAGCTGAACGGATATCGGATCATGTGAGACACTCATTTTAACTAATTTAGTGCAACATTCAGTGAAGATTGTGCGAAGGATTACAAAAAAGGCCCAGAATCTTGTTTTTTAGCTCAATTCGGATTGAAGAAAGAGCAATTAGAGCCTTTTGGTTACGATATTACACCTAAAGAAGTTTTAGTCTGGCATACGAAAACAGTCCGAAGTAGGGCGAAAGGTAGTCGTTATGGTTACATGGTGGAATAGTTGAAAATGTCCCAGCGAAGTGCTTTATGCTTTAACAAATCAATTTATAAAGCCAAAAAGAGAAAGTTCATAATTATTTATAAAAGGTGAGAGTAAACGGGTTCAGAAATGCTAGTTATTTTTAGTCAATGTCATAATTTGCCAATTTACGAGTATTATCTTTCATATTTGTTTCCAATAACGATCCGTGTTAGCTTCAATAAAAATATTCGCTTCTCGATTGTGCGAGAAGTTCTTCTGAAACTTCGAAAGAATGTTTAGGTTCTGTATTAGACTTGTGCAAAAGGATTTCTATCGCATATAAGTTGCTTTGCTCGTTTCATTCCACTTCTCATAGCAGCCAAATTTTCGACGGACTCGGCGCTTGGTCTGAAGCTGATAACTCCTAAAAAAGATGCATTGTTCAATGATGAAATAATACTACCACGAAAGCGAAGTTGCAAGCTTTCCTCCAAATCTGAATAGACTGTTTCTGATAATTCTGCGAATACCCGACGAAGTTCGTTCTGAAAGAATAATTAAACTTTAAAGCTTCCGGTTGTAATTAAACATGATATTTATTGTATTCCAAAAGCCAACTCAGTCGAGGACAGTTTATATTAGTTCTATCAATATTGTGGCGAATTATACACTCAGTTGTTTTCATTTCCACATCCAATTTCATTAAGTAAGGGAGAACACGTGTCTGTAAGCATGGTTAACTTCAACCTAGTTAAGAGTCATAAAAGGTGATATTTGTCCTATCTCTCAGAAGATTGGAGAAATCTCAAATGTTGTTTCATTGCTGATAATACACAAAAGCACTTAAAACTATCGCGCGTGGTCTACGAAACATACATGTAGTTCATCCAGAAGATCTTGGGCGTTCTCTCGTAATGTAACGGCATCAGTAGTGAAATCACTGACCAGCTGGACTATCTTATCCAGCTTGAACGAAAAGACTTGAGTCAGAATATTGCACAATCAAACCTTTTTACAAATATTACTGATGAGATTTGATAAATCCAACCGATCAACAAGTTGTTCTTGCTTGAAGCTTGAATGATCTCGCGGTACTTGTTGGTGTTCAGAACAAATATCATCCTCTTCGAATGTTAACGAAATCATGGAAATAGCATCCAACTAAAATGAATATTGATAGATTCTCTGATTTGTGAACAGTATTTTTCACATAGTCGGTAGAAGGCAAGCTAAAATCACTTTGACGAGAATGACAAATTGAATCCACATAAGCATGCTGGGGAGATTCAGCTCGATAACCACTTTGACCTAGACGTCGCCACATGTTTTTTTCCGATAATCTGAATAGATAACGAAAATTGGGTGGAGGCTAAGAAATAAACAAAACAGGTGGAAGAAGCTTTATGTGTTGGAAGAAGAGTTATTTATGGAACATCTTTCTTAAAACAACTACTTTTCAACGAACGGATGAACTGTAATATTGCAAAAACCACCAGCTAATGCAACATAGAAAAATAGGAAGATATTTGGTTAACCAGACAATTTGGTGGTGATAGAATGTTTCTGTCTTTCGGGTGATTTTGATTATCATGGAAGGAGAACGAAGACACGTTTGCTGTCTAATCGTCAGCTGCCCCATCTCGTATTAACTTTTCATTCAACTATGCTTATTTCTCTTTCTTCTCAAATAAAGAATGATACGAGACGCGGTTTCTAGCACGAAATCATGTAGAACATCTGGTGGGCTTCCATTCTCTTTAATATCTCGATTTCGAGAATACTGGAATTTGAATATCCTGAATTGAACTGAATAATTCAGATCTGAAAGTTGGTGAGGATATATATATATATATATATATGTATTTATATATATTATATATATTATATATACCTAACATCCGACGGAAGTTGTCTGTATTTCCCAAGAACCAAGTGTGAAAATGACCTTTCATACTTCCGGCACTTAAAGGAACGGTAGCCTTTTATTTATATACAGTAAGTATCTCTTAAGTGCTTGAACCGTTTTAGGGAGGTGAACGTCCCATATAATCAGTACTTCCGAGTCATGTTCTCAGGACATACTTGATGAGCTAGCGGTATGGCAAGCCGACTTTGGTGCATAAAAGTTAATGGCCGTTTACATGGTCCTTACAGTAAAATTGTCGGTAACCTTTGGTAGCTTCGAAGTATATATTAAAAAGGAATCCATCATTGAATCAGTGTCAGTTGATTCGTATTCAAAAATCACAGCTATTATGCTTTCGACAATAATCTACAATCTTATCATGTTCATTTGTGTTGTTCAAGTTCAGGTATGTTAACTGTTCACTATTTTCTATTAAGCCAGAACAAAAAATAATTCCAGAGGCAACTATTTTATTCTTATCATTACAGGCTGTCTATCAAATGGAGATGTTTTTTCAACCTCCTGTCCTGACGAACGATCAGATTGTCCAAAACTGCGTTCAATACATTGATTCGGAGCTAACAGACGATTACCTCACAAATTGTCTTCTCATCGATCAGCTACCTCAATGGAAACCAAGCGAGACAATTATCAAAAATAGTTGGAGCTCTGATAGGATTAATATTCAAGGAGTTTCTTATACTCTAAATTATCGCATCGATTGTTATCTGTAAGACTTTTTTTAATATTCAATCCACTAACTGTTTACTTTATAGCGACTTTTACGGAGAAAATTGCTCAAACTTCTGCAAGCCTTCGAACGATTTGATCCTCGGCTTTTATTCCTGTTCTTCCAACGGAGAAAAAGTGTGTCTTTCTGGCTATAGAGGACCATTTTGCACAGATAAAGAATCTCCAAGTGTACCAGTAATTTCTATGACTGAGCAAAGGCCTCTTAATACGCCAATAATAATCAACTATTCTTTTGGTTAGTTATAAAAGTTATCTTCCAAATCATTGATGATCCTATTTATAGAGTTTTCTTGGGTTGTTCTCTTCATCTTCTTCGGAATAGCATTTTTTTCATGTCTTACGTTGATATTTGGTTACTACTACCAGCGACGTAGATTGACGCCAACTACTAACATGATGATTCCCTCTGTCTCTAGTAAATTGAAGTACTTTTCTGAAGATTTTCCTCCAAGATATTCGAATGCTCCGAAGGAGTCAGATTATGCAGAGATCTTCTACTCGCAAAGAGACAGTTTCGTTGTTTAGATATATTATAACTATGCTGTATTTCTTCATCAATTTCTAGTCAAGTAGATATTATATTTGTTATTTGCATTAATTTCCTATAGTTAGTTAGTGAACCTCTTTGTATTATGAAAAATAAATGTAAACTCCGATATTGACTGATAAAGATTATATTTGTACAGCATTATTACACCTTCGCTCTTAATTCTGTTTCCAGACAATTTTGCAATCGAGTCATTCGTCCAGCAGCCAACCTTCCTGCTCTTTGTATTCTTTGATCACTGCACCTTCCAAAAAACTACTCACTCACCTATTCCTTCAACATTCTGCGAGTATAACCCTCCCTCAATCTCGGAGATAACATGTAATCACGAAAACGAGTCAATATTTTTATTTTTTATTATTTTAAAGCTACTCAGAGTGGCTCATCGTAAATTTCTCAATAACCGTATGAATCTGAACTGTACAATAAACATTTTCAAATTGTTGATAATACATCAAGTTTGAAACTCTATAAATATAAAATATGGACTAGGTTGGAATATTTATAAGCTCTCATTGGGAAATTCGAAGGAATGAGGAGGATTTCGGTATATATTCAGATTAGACAGATCTGTTTCGTTCAGAATGGAATGTAATAGCACTTTGAGTCTAATTCCTGGAAAGAAGAACTGATATATTTTGAAGTGGAATATAAGACAAACCCTTTATCCTGAAGAGTTCGCATAGTAACAATAGCTGGGTTGATAACCCCTGGAGTTTCATTGTTGAGAGAAGTATGTCCAGATAGGCTGCTTGTTCGGTTGTTGCTCACCGCACACATACCGTCGTCGTTTTGCTCTGCTGTCCTGCGGAGTCTGGAAACATTATATCCGGGAAATGTTACCAATTCATGACAACAAACAAAAACAAAAACAAACTAAAATCTACTCTTCTCAATCACAAAAACACATACATATTCTTGGCAATCACAACAACACTTACCATATAATGAGTTGGTTCAATACCATTTAAATAACAACTGACAAGAAGATATTAATTTAGACATTACAAAGATTACTCGCATATTATAACGAAGAACGGTGTTTTTTTAATACACGAAGAAAACTCACTTTAATCTGCTCTCTTTCATAAACTTTTGTATTTTACGAGCCGCGGCTTGCCGTTTGCGGTGACCCCTATACGCTGCCTGGATAGTAGCAGCAGCCTTATGTTCGCGAGATAGGGATGAGCTGTTTTGAGGAACCTTCAAATATTATTAGCTCTTTTTCTCAACGCTATCTCACTTGAATTCTGAGAATTTGACCTTGAAGAGTTGGGTGCTCCTGAACTTCGTTATCATGCGATGTTTGGGATTCTTTTTGGTTCACCTTAAATTAATAGGATCAGGATACTTTTAGATAAAACTATATAGAAAGAGCAAGTAGTGAGTAACTAAATTCTAACCTTCTTCATTCGAAAATGTTTCTGAACAACTATAGCTGCACTGTGAAGCTTCTTAAAATAACAGAACTGGAAATGAAATTGTGAGTAACGTAACTGACAAGAGATAGCTGAATGGGTAAATAAAAGTACCTGCTTATACCGTCGATAGCAGCATTGAATCGTGACAGCAGCACGACGTTCAACATCAGCCTGACGTCGATTGATGTTTCGTTCCCGATACTCCCGATAAGCTCGCTGGATCACCATTGCAGCTTCATACACTTCGCGTTGCTCTAAGTCTGGAAGTTAACATGATTATCAAGATAAAAAAAGGAGATTAAGGATAGAGATGAAACATATTTTTTCAAGGTATTCTGTGTAATTTTTGGAAAAAAAACAAAGATCAAGATCAACTAAACTTTCATACTCCTTTTCTTTCAGTTTTTTACTGTACAGTACCCCGTAAATAACTTCCGCGAAACAAATGACCATCTATGGATTCAATGGGTGAAGTACTTCTTAAATTACAGGCTACCATTGTACCGCAAAATAGTCTGCTTCAGAGAGAAAACTTTAATCCAAGCGGCGGTTTGGGATGGGACTGCGATGGCGCACAGGACAAGGAATGATGAGGAATAAGAGTAACAACCGAAAGAAAATTCTTCTCGGTTTCGAGTGGTGGTAGAGACAACACACACACAGTGTGAATCTAGGGTTACGCAGTGATCAGCGATCTACCGAGAGAACAGGCGGTCCTATGAGAGCGCTGCATGGTAATGACGTCAGCAACAGGCCGACACTTTTCAATCAAAGACATTCCCGCTTAGAATACTTTTGAACGGGAGGAAAGCTCAAGTTGAGAGAGTAAGAAATGCCAACTGTTCATCGATGCTCTACAGAAGCTCCTCAGTAAGTAGAAACAAGACAGTCGATAAATCCAAAACCTGAGTTGCTTCTTGGTTATGAAAGCGTTCATTTCATTTCGGTTTCAAATTGGAATGATAGTAAAACATAGAACGACAAAATCAAAGTAAAATATAGGCCAACTTGCTATTGCTCAAAAACAGCAACTATTGATACAGGCTTTGAAAAATTAGTTTGAATCAGAATTTGTCCTCTCACTTTAACTTTTCTCGAAATTTTGAAGCAGCTTGAGAATATTACTTAAGAAGCGATAATCAAGTGAGCTTCAACATAAGGGAGAAATATCCCTGAAATCAAGAAGCTGCATATAGTAAACTATCGGAATGAGGTTAACTAACACTGCATAAAACAACTTTCACAAATCTCAGAAATCATAAGAAATTTTTCCGATCCTGATGAATAACTCTGATAGCTAATCATTACTTATTCAGTTTAATACTCCAGAGGCGTCGGAAGATTAGATGAATTACTGAGCAGTTGCACTTATTTAAAGCTCCTAATGTCAACATAACGTTGGTCGGAGTGCTTCGTTTGCGTTTTAAAGGTGGTCTTATTGCTCCTCAGAAGTTGATTAGGTGGCAAATACGTCACTATTCCTGAACAGCAGTAACTTCTACGACAACTGACGACAAATTTCATCGTTAATTTTGAAAGGAGCTTTGTCTAAGATCGGTTCTTACCAGAAAGCTTCAGGTCACCCAAACGTTGCTGGATAGGGTCAACTTCACCATCTACATTTATATTGAAAAATTCTCCCAAGTCTCTGAAATTGAGAGAAAAGATTGACCATAATTACATTCCCTTCGCACTTGTCGAAGTCAAAACTGCTGCCTTCATAGGTATTTGTTCGGGAAGATCCAATAGAATTTGCATGCGGTCGCAGATGTTGACCAAGGGAAGAGGACGTAGAAGGCATCTCACCTACGGATGACACCACTTCAGAATCTGATGAAAGACTGAAACGAAAGAAACATTAAAACTGAACAGTTCGAGCAAACAGATGAAAATTGAACAAGCGTACTCACCCGAATGATGGACTGTTCTGAGACCATAAATCATAAGCACCGTCAGTGCCAAGCATTCGAGATAAATCATCGGGATAAGAAAATCCGGTAGAATTAGCTTCGTTTGAGAGCATTTCTACATCCATAAGAGAAGATTGATCATTCTAGAAAAATAGTATCTCTTAGGAACGGCTTTCAAACCTTGATTCTATCAGGAAGAGCATCAATGATTTGCTTCGCAAGGTTTGCCATTTTTTGTCGAGCATTCTCATTAACTAGAACTCCCGGACTGAAATAGTGCCTTCGAACCCGTGATAGGCACAGTTAAATAAACCTCGTTACTTCCTGAAACAAATCAGCCATTTTCGGAGAATCTGGAACATGAACATCGGTATCCATCGAAATTTCCACATGTAAGGGGGGACTTTTGCTAGAGGCCGCCTAAAGAAACTTATAAGTTCGTGGAATAACTGAATATGTGACTACCCCATTTTGACTGCAATGTTCATCCTCTGCTTGACCGGTATTATCCACGGAACGCAAATCCTGAACCAAAAGTAAAAAATAGGGATGCACGCAAAACCTCTGGTTTTCGCCGACCATCACGTAATAACTGTTCGTCTGTTACTGTTTCTCCATTAGTCATTACCCATAAGGCAGTGGAGGAGGCATTTTCTATTGTAGCTGGAATGGGAATAAAATCTCAAAATGAGTTTTAGAATGACTCACAAAGGCTATGCACGATATCATGATCATTAGGTAAGTTCAAAAGTGTAATAATAAGATCATTAGAGGCTAACTCAGAGGGAGTTCTTCCCCGATCGTCGAGAATATAAACAGCTTGAGAGTTCGATTCTGATAAAAGCCTGAATAACAACTTTTTCAATATATTTTCGGTAAGAACTAGCTCACTTGCAGGAATTGAGATTGCTATACGCTGCTGCTATATGCAATGGAGTTTTACCTTCACAATCTCGAGCAAGAGGATCAAGTTCTCTGACATGAATCAGTTTTCTCCTAAGCGACGATAAATAACCTGACAACGATAAATGAAACACAAACCTCCAACTCAGAATGAAAACAAGTAGCTTCGAGAAGTCTAAAGCAGCGCATATATGCAAAATTGTTCGAGAAGGTAACGAAAAAGGAGAAGATAAAATATTTGGGTGAACGAGTGGAAGGTTTTGCAAAGGAGTCAGAAATGAAAGAAAACTGTCTTCGTTAGTTGGCAGAGATGAAAAACGCTGGAATGAGAAAAAAAAATAGAGAGCCCGAGACTATATCTTACTTTAGTTTCCGAGGGAACCGAAAATGCTATAATGAGCAGATTAACTCGATCAGTTAAAGCTTGCAAAAGTCCGTCACGCTCATTATCTTCGTAAAGGAACTTTGACGATTGAGAAACCGGACAATCATTGCAATAAACGCGTAGAGACACCCACCCAGGTTTGGAAGCTGCGAATGAGAATGAGGAATCCTAGATAGAAAGAACTATGAACCTGGAGGTATTTCGAGCGACAAAACGGCAGGCCTGACTAGCTTAGCGGGTACTCTTTTGTCTCCAAAAACAACAGAATACTCATGCCCTTTCAAATACCAATCCCCAATAATCACAACTTTGGAACCCCCCTAAAAACACGTCATTTCTCTGATAAAAATGCAAAATTACTCTGAGATTCGAGCATGAAGGAGCTATTTCTAGAATGTCATTTCCAGTTTTTGCAAAGTTTTCTTGGACGAAAGAGTTCTGAGATACGGGTCCAACAGAGCACGCTGATAGTGAATTAGGATGATTAAGAGACTGAAAATCTCTGTCATCAATTTTCTTCAAAAAAATAAACCATTTCTTCATCTTGATTGCTTCGTTGCTGAGTTTCATCTGAGTGAGACCTGCTGTCAGTTTGGTTATATATTCTATTACTTCCGTCAGCGCCACAGTTATTCACAACAACTCCTCAAAATGGAGAGATAGTATTTCGAAAACAAAAAAATTTACCAATATAATTTGCATCGACAGAATCTGAAAACGTTGATGGTTGCCTCTGCAAAGCAACGGAAGACAGCCCACGCCTAAACGCTGAACTACAAGAGTTTCTACGTTCCAAGGTAGATGAATGAGATGAAGACATCTAAATCAGGTTTGTACATAGCAGACAGGGTTTTGAAACTTTACCTGCTCTTGCCGATTCTCTAGTAAGTTACAAATATTATCACATAATATTGTGATCATTTCGCGAGAAAACATGTCAAAAACTGAAAAAAAAAATTAATAGATAAATGAATTCAATCTAACAAATTGAGCATAAATGGGCTTCCAGCAAGTTCCGCGAGATTCCTACATTGTTACTTTTCATTGTACTTGCTATTTTTTCAGCTGTTTCAGGAATATCGTTATATTTTTCGTCACAAACATTCAAATAATGCACAAGAACGTATGAAGGGTCCTGAAAGTTAATAAAATAAAACCAAATATAAAGAAGTAAGATATGCTTTTTTGAACTTTGCACAATGCCATGACATAAATTTCTCATAATAACCGAAAGTTACTCGAATCTTCTGGAATCAATTTGTGGTAAAAAAAACATACACTGGTCAGCCAATAAATTCTTCTATGAAACGTGGGCACAATGGCAGAATGTGCGTAATTCGCTGATATAACTTCTTGTTTGTTAACCTATTGTATGAAATATAATGAACTCACAAATAAATACCTCCTTACTTTAAGCTTCATATGATCCTCTCGAACAATTCTACCCTCACGTCTTTTTTTCCATTCGAATTTGTCTGATTTGAACCAAATGCCATCATATCGAAGAAATAATTGTTGACTACTGGAAGAGAAACGCTACGCGTACATACTCTATATGAATAGTATACCCAGTACGTGGAAGTTCATATACTTGATGCGAGATCCATTCTGTACGATGACGAGCTGCGAATAGAATCCGGGCAATTTCCTAGAACACAGAGAATTTGAGGTTACTGAAAGTAACTTGGAAATACCGAGTTCGAATTCCATTTTAAACTGATTGGTAAGAAACAATCACCAGCATTAGGAAGCAAATGGTTATGAGTCAAGGGGGGATTAGTAGAAATCATACTCACGATATCATAGTCAAAGCTGAAAGAAATGATGAAGAAGTGACTGAAACTAGGTTTGGCAAGCTAGTGTATTTTAGAGTAGAATAGTAAATGGTACAACATAACATGTTGTCCATACGTACGCACCATTATTTTTGTATAGAAAAAAACATCCAAGCATTTAAATAAATGTTAATAGCATGTGATGCCGAGTAAACTTGAATTGCAACCTGAATAAACTCAGACACCAAAGCTGTTTTGCCAATGGCGACAAATCGAACCATATGTTGGCCAATAGCCAAGCGATATGCACGAGAAACTGCGACCGCAAGCGTCCATGGCAAAAGCTAAATGTCCCTGTGTGAAGCATGCTCTAATCGACTTTTTGCACTTTCTATTCAAGCCATATACACAAGTAAGACACTAAGCGATGTAGCAATAGTTGGCATCCAGGTTTAAAGTTGTATTCGACAGTTTTTGTGGGGCTATTTTGAAAATTTATGTTTTTCATTCGTTAACTCAAGATGGCGTTACTCAAACTTCGAACTTTTCGATTGATGAAAAGAATCCAAAACTCGTGTTTTTTTTCGCCGTTATTGTGAATTTCCGTAAAACTCTCTGTAATGTATGAATTCTGATTGTTGGAGAATGTGTCTTTTCTTATACGGATTAAGTTGACTAATATCGGAGAGTCGATATTTGTAATATTAGCAAGGCTTGTCAAACAAGCTGATAATGATTTATGCTTGGGTTGCAACAGTAGCAAAGAGTGAGTTCTTTTCGAGAGAATTTTTTAGAATTAAACCTATCTCTATATCTTCTTCTTTTGAATATTAGCATACGTTTAAAATTGTCTTTCGATCATGATTCCGTGTTTTTGTGCGAAACCAAAATGGCGTTACTTCCGAAACCTCAGATAATAGTTAATTCCATGAATATTTCATCAGACTGCGTGCGAAAATTTTATGTTTTTATCAAAATATTGCTGAACGGAAACTTAAAAACAGGAAAAAATCGTTTGATACGCTACCTGATATAACTTGGAGTGGAAACATGGAAAGCATGCTGAGGAGAGTTTTGAGCACGTGAGAGTGTTATACATATGTCTGCTTCACGTGATAGGAAAAGAAAGTAGAAACTAAGATTTAATAAGCAACGACTAAAATTAGGATCGAAAAATCTAACTAAACAAACAACTCAAAAACAAACAATTAATAACTTAAAGTAATATGGAGTTAAAAACAACTAAATTGAAGAAAAGTAAGCAATCTCCGTGCGCGCAACTTGATAAATTTTCAATGATTCCCGAATCTAGCGCTTTCGTGAATACCGTGGATGGAAATGGAAGGTTAAAATTATATGAATGAGAGTAATCAAACAACTCTTGTAATGAGGATTGCATGCTCTCGACACAGAAAAAAACACCCGGTACTCTGTACAAAAAGTCAGATTGAGAAAAACAACACTAAGTACCGCAATATAGTTTGTAAATTAAAAAATATTTTTGAAGAAATTGAAACTAACAATTGCTCTGAATTCAACCACATGCTCATCCAGTCTGGTTAGAAATAAAAACTTTCGAATGCAAATTTTCTTCAAATGTGTCGAATATAAATGAAGCTTAGTCATAGGTTTGTTTTAGATTTGAATAAAAATTTAAAAAAAAGAACTTTATTAGTGTCATAGCTCCGGAACAAACATGTGAAAAATGTATTCTATGAATTTTTACAAAAAAAACTCGTCGATCCTGTCTTTTTACCCCTCATTCTATTACGTTTCCTATCGAAGTTTATATTTAATACTCACATTAACAATGTGAATCCCAAAATTTTTTCCTATGTGATAAGATGGTTTGGAAAGGTAGAACGGTGGCCACAGAAATATATACAGAATTGGAAGATGATGGAGATATAGAGGAGAGGTAACTGTAGAAAAGTACTGCATCAAAAAAGAGGTACAGAGATATCTGGCGAGAGAGAGAGAGAGAGAGAGAGAGAGAGAGAGAGAAAGAGAGAGAGAGAGAAAGAGAGAGAGGGAAAGAGAGAGAGATAGAGAAAAATATGGGGAAAAATTAGATGTGGGTCAAGACCGCCGGGTAATGTGGGTAATGGGTACACGACCCTAAGATGAGATAGCTGCCCACAAACTATTGGGTGGAGGAAGAAGATATAATGATATGAGAAGAGAATAAGGCACATTCCGTCTCATTTTCAACAAATTTCTTCTGCTGTTGTATAACTCTCTCAAATCATCAAATTGTTTTTCCATATAGGTGCTGATCTTTTGTTCGTAACCTAGCTGTATCTTCATGATCATGATGTAGCCGAAAGTAGAGATAGTCTCTTTTTCTCTCTTTCTCATCTCCCCCCCCCCACCTTCCTTTTTCTGTTCGACAGACAGTTTCTTATCTCTCCCCCAAGTTCACCTTCTTTGCAACTACTTTTTCATTTTTCAATCCTACCGTTTTCCACTACCCTTAGTTGTGTTTCAATTAAACTTGATTCAGATATCTTTTGTTCAGAAATGTAAATTTCTCCAGATTTCTTTTTTCTTAGATAGTTCTAGTTTAAAGCAATTATCATTGTTTCCTTTTTTACTGTTTTAATAAATGTCTAATCTTTCAGTTTCCAGACCTATGAAGGGGTCAAAAGGAGAGCTGTCGCCCTCGGATGAGAATATCAGCGAGGTAAGGACTCATTCTAATAATTTCAATATTTTCTATGTGAATTCAGTCAAGAGAAGATGCTTATAAAGTTTTGATTGGCATTTCATCATCTCTTTCAATCATTTCATTGCTTACAATATGTATGGTTGTGCCTTCAATGTATAACTATGTTGATAATATGGCTCAGTATTCACGTCAAGACTTCGCCTACTGTCAGGTAAACATGAACTGAAACAGATCTTTTTATTTGTTATTTTTTGAACAGAGTGCCACTGCAGATATGGAAAATCAAATGTCCACATTAAGGGGCAGGTTTCATGATGTAGTTAAAAATCGTACTAGTAGATCTGCTTATGGAGCATATAATCCAACAATGATGGCCAACGACTCTCCTCTTTTCCAAGAATGCCCAGGTGAAATACTCGCTTAGATCGCAATTAAATAGATTTGTTTTTAGCGTGCTGTATTCCTGGAGAACGAGGACCACCTGGAGATGGAGGACTTCCAGCACTTGCTGGAGCTCCAGGTCCAGATGGTGCTCCTGGTCGTCCTGGAACAACTCCAAATGCTTCTTGTATTCCTGAGAGAGTTTTTGAACCACCACCATGTCTTCCATGCCCTCAAGGACCAAGAGGTGTTCCAGGTCACCCAGGTTTTCCTGGAGACCCAGGAGACTCCGGAATACCAGGAAGACCAGGGTCTGATGGTCAGCCAGGAAAGCCTGGAGAGCCCGGTTCTCCAGGACCGCAAGGACCACCAGGACAGTCAGGGCCTCCTGGAGATAAAGTGAAGCCCAGAATTCCCTACCGTTTTCACCTATGCAATTTTTAAGGGCCGAACTCCAGAAGCTCATGTGATTCCTGGACCACCCGGAGATTCTGGACCACCAGGTCCATGGGGACCTCCTGGAAATGCTGGAATGCCCGGTGAAGATGGGTATCCCGGGACACCTGGAGAGAAAGGATGGCCTGGACCACCAGGTGCACCAGGGCCGATGGGGCTTCCTGGTCCATCTGGTCCAGCCGGAGAAGAGGGACCATCAGGTAAAAGAATCGGAATTAGTAAAGTGAATAAAAATATGAAGGTACTCCTGGAACTTGTGTCTGTCAAGATACTGAAGTCGTAATGGCTGATGTAAATGGAAAAGTCCCAGCTCCTAGAGACGATATTCCTACCCCCCCAACGTTCGAACTTACGTCTTCAACATCTACGGAGGGATATTTCAACGCAAAGTAAATGGAAGATCTTACTCAAAAAAGTAACTGTAACTTTAGATCTCTCCCAACCAGTGATCTTTATCAACGTGAGGCAATAGAAGCTAGTCAGAACGGATATTACAGCGCTCGAAGGCATCGTAAACTGAAGCGATTACACCTTCAGTAACCAGAAGAAATAAGAGAAGGACAATGACCATTTATGGTTTTAATAATAACCTCTAATTTCTTGTTTATTTCTTATGCATGGATCGTTTTTTTCATCTACACCCATGCTTCATCAATTCTCAACGAAATAGCTCTTTCAAAGTGTTTTATAACATTCAAGAACAAAATCCAAAGTGTTGCAACGTCTCAACCATTGTCTTTAATAATAATTGATAATATTCACACTGTTAATAATTAAATATATATACATATAGCAAAATACTGAATGAAGTGAAAAAATGATCTGTTGAATAAAAAAAATAGAACGTTGAAGTTAATTTTACAAATATGTATGAAGCCAAACCTGTAGTTTCTTTAGCATGATAAAGGATATTCAACTTTCCTTTTGAATACTTCAAAAGGTACCTACGGTATTTCCCACTTGCAACCGACCACATGATAAAGCGCTTAGCGTTTATAGTCAGTTTTGTAAAGTTCTTCACTTCTGCTGAAGATTTTTCTTTTATCTTCTTAAATTAATCAAATTATCAAAAAACAATCTTTTTTTCTATTTTATCATATCACGGAAATTGATGGTCAGGTCAAACAATAGAATCCACTAAATTCATCAAATCGGTACAAATACTATTGAGAAAAATACTTAATTGACCAGGAGGTCATGCGTACAAGCAATATTGTGATCAGAAAGTTAAAACCAGTAAAAGAACTTAATTTTCTGAAGTAGTGTCAAGTTGAAACAACGGGATAAGCAATGATGCAACGTGCATTGGTCGCTTCTAATTATTATACCTCATACCCGATATACATATTCAGTTTATAAGACAGGTTGACCTTGCTAATTAAGAGAGAATAAATGGACTTTCAGAACTGGAGCGGCAGAGAAAGATTGTTTTTATTGATTATAATTAATTATATAATATATAACAGAAGAATGAAAATACGGATAAACAGATATGTTCGATGGGCCATAAATGGTCAAGGCCTATCGGTAAATAACAAGATCTCGTAATTTCTGGATATTATTGTCATATATCTGTGTATCAATCTATCATACCCTCATTCTTCTTGATATAGCTCTTTATCTTCTCACCTTCCAATATGATCAGTATGTCTTCAGCGTTTCCTACGAGGAAGTCAACTCATCAAATCTATGCGTTTTTCGATTAGTTTTAAAAATAACTGTTCGACTTTCCGCCGAACTTGCTTGTCTGTTCCAAATTGTGTCAATGTCCTTATCAATTTTCATAGTTTAAGTTGCACCAAATTTGATTCTTGTCTTATATTGTATACGTAACAAATCGTCAAAAATGATTGATAGACTTCAGTGAAACTTTACTTAATTGGGGTCTATCCAATGATTTTTCGTTTTCGTGACCCGCAAAGTGCAAACTACAGTCGTGGCTGAAATAGTTGGGGCAAGCCCTTGAAAGCTTAGAGAAAACTACTTCTGATGAATTTTTTTCGTTCTCTCGAAAAATTAAAAGTGATCTTGAAACTTAAAAGCTTAGCTTCCGTTTTTAACTGTTAAACTTTCTGAAACTTTTAAAAAATTTTTTTTAATTTGACATTTTTTTGATCTTGAAAAAAGTAAAGAAAATCTAAATAAAATTATTTGAATCGAAACGTGTGTGGCATTACGGAATAGTATATTTCTCACAAACAATTTTTTTTGATTTCTACCAGAAACGGTTTGCCCTTACTATTTTTGCCAAGCCTGTATGTGATAATGCGAAATATCAGCTCCGTTCATGTCTTGAAACTGTTAAACTTCATTACCCATCCCTTGAAAAAGTCGTATGCACTCTCTTCAGTGATAGATTTAGTTATTGAAGAGGCTCAATACAAACGTTTCAAAGTAGAGAACTACTCCATTCCTTCAGAAACTGAAATTATTCTGTTAGTTAAAATGCTGAGAGAGAAAATGTTTCGCTATCATAAGAATAGGTTCCCATAGATCAAAGGGTTTTCAATTATCTTCTCGTATTTGTAACTAATTTTCAGTTTGTTTGGCACAGTTCGAATCATATGTTGTTCCTAGTTTTTCGGTCTCTTACCTTACCTATAAATCAGAAAAGTTTCGTCTTCACACAATAGTCATGGATTTTATCGATGTCAGAAACCTATTGGATATCTTATTGTAATAGTGCAACTTAAGTTCCGTATACCGAACGATTACGTGACAGATGAGCATGATCAACTATCAGAAGTTACTCCTTGTAGTAATGAATACCACATCTAGCTTATTCATCTCAATGCGAAAGAACTTACCTTATATTGTAAACCAAATTTCTCAATACCAGTTAAATGAACTTGTGTTCATTATTTGTTAAATATTCGGATTACGGTTAGATAAAATTCCTTCTTTTTTATAGTTTTTCAGGTTTTTTCTTATATAAAAAATTTGTTTGTGTTTGCAGATAGCCGGCTGATTACGTTCAGGTTTATCATTCACTTTATCTGGCACAGTGACTAACATCAAAAGTCTGATTGTTAGCAAGGATACCGAACTATTTGGGTCGCCATCTCTCTCATTCTCTCGTATGACCCCGCCCGAGACATCAGAGGTTTGTTCATATCTTTTCCATTTTAGGATGTTGTCATAGTTTTTCTATTTCTCAACTTCCTATCTATGTTCATCTCGCTCTCTGCCTCTATAGCTTTTCTCTCGTTTTCTCTTCGATCAAACAAAACTCTTTTTGTTCTCAACTTTCTGTCGCCTTTACGTCAGTCGTGTCTTGTAACTTCTTCCCGTAAGGAATGTAAGAAAAAATCAGAAGACAGCACATGTAGCGATCGAGTCTCATTTTTCCTATCTATATTGTCTTTTTAACGTTTTGAGTACTACTGTTTCGGTTATGAGTTCTGGTTCGTGAATTCAACTTCAGCTCGCTCTTCATATCCGAAACAAGAAAAATATGAATATTATTTCTGTTATTTTTTTTATATAGTTTAATGATTTTCAGGAAAAGCCTTGTGATATCGTTGTTCAATTAGAGAAAGATCAGCGAGTCATCACCGTGAAAAAGTTGAAAAACAAGAAGAAAGAGACACCTGAAAACTCGAGAACGGACAAAAACGGAAAGTCAGTATTTATCTGTATAATTTCGACATGTTTTTTTTGTAGCGTAGTTCTAGAAGAAGAACATAAGGAATCTCATTCTTTCAATTTTTCTGATTTGATCCAAATTATTTTCAAAAAACCTTCAGTTTTGAAGAAGGGGAGAAAAGTTGTGTTACTTTTTTTTTTTTTTACTGAAAAGTATTTTCAGTCTTCTTACGCTTTTAACGCAGATCCGTCAGATTACAACACCAAAAGACGTTGGTGGTTTTGTGGAAATGAGAACCAAAACAGACAGCGAAGGGTTAGCTTTTCCAAAATAGTTTTTGCAATTTTTCATTCTTTTCCAGCTTTCCACTGTCATCGCTATCAATGACGAGTCAGCGACAAAGGATATTCCAATTTGTTACCGCTCTACAGATTGTCTTTAGGTATGAAAGTTTTAAACTTCACTTACATAACTATATAGTTCAGTGTCTTATCGGTAGTTATCATAAGTATTGCCCTTCCAGCCATGTATAACGATGTTCAATCCACAATAGAATACGTTGAGAGGGAGATGACATTTTGCGAAGTATGTCAACCTCTCAATACATTGATCTATCAATTGTTAAGGTTTCCAACGGCGAAGCTCTGATTGAGTTAGAGTATGGCAAACTTTCTATTTCCGAAAATAGAACTCGTCGTTATGCCTCAAACACTCGTCGGTTTAGAAGCCAAGCATATGGTGATGAAGTAACCGGAACTCCATTAGAAACCGAATGCCCGGGTTGCTGTATACCTGGACCACCAGGACCACGTGGACCATCTGGAACTCCAGGAAAACCTGGGAATCCAGGCGTTGCAGGCAAGCCAGGAATACCAGGAAGTACCCCAAATCAAACTTGTCCGATGAACTTGGCTCGTGAGCCACCTCCTTGCCGTCCTTGCCCTAAGGGACCCCCAGGAATAAAAGGATGGCCAGGTTTTCCTGGAGATGTGGGACCCCCAGGTCCACCTGGACTAAAAGGCAAAGATGGTGAAGATGGTGAAGCCGGAGAGCCTGGACCAGTTGGGCCACCCGGGTATAAAGGAGGTCCAGGAGCACCGGGAGATAAGGGACCAACACCAGAAGGTAATCATATTTTTATTAGAAAAACACATGTTTATGCTGTATTAATTGTAGGGGATATGAAAGAAGGTCCTCCTGGAGATGACGGATCACCTGGACCAGTTGGGGCCTCAGGCATGCCTGGTTTACCAGGACGTAATGGACTAACAGGACCTCAGGGTGAACGCGGATGGCCCGGAACTCCGGGAGAACCAGGAGAAAACGGATACCCTGGACCAGAAGGACCGATGGGTGGTCAAGGACCTCCAGGAGAACCAGGAGTTTGTGTATGCCAGAATGTTGACTCAATTCTGTTAATTAATCCTGGACCACAGCCAAGAATTCAAGGCGATGATTATCAGAATGCACGTCCTTACATGACTGGTGGGTACGGAAGGAAATAGTTGTTGATAAGTACGTGGATCATAATAATTAATAATTAATAACATTCCTCATGATTAATAATAAATTGTTAGACAAATAGAGCATTTTTTTTCATGTACTTCATCTCCGAACTATCTCTCAGCAACATTATGTGATTTCGATAAGATAAATTTCTTTTTCGTTTTCATGTTTTTATTAATAAATATCTTTGTTTGTATGTGGAACAGTTCCAAGAATATTATTATTACAATCTCGTTTGATCTCTTCATCTTGTTCTGTAGCACTCAGTGTTGTTTCTGATGTTATGAGCTTGTTAGTTTGTAAAGTCATCATCAATCCTACAGCGAATGTTATGAAATAGCAGTAGAACCCCTCATGTAAACATGAGAACAAACGGTTTTTCATCTGTAATTAATAAACATTAGGACTGCTCGCTAACAAAAATGGGTTTCTTAAACACATCTTATTTTACAATCTTGTCAATTTTTTTTCATTGTTTTTCACTCAAGTTCCCCCCACAATCTGTTTGTTAAACTCATGCAATAGAATAAAAACGATACCTGCATAGTACGCCCTAATCCAGTGATCAATCCGACGTTTCCAGATATTTTAACAAGATCCATTATGGTTCTATTAGTGTTACTAGCAAATCCACAACATCTGAGAGACGGAGTTGTAGCGTTAATTAAGGAAAACTCACATTAGCAGAATTGATACCGCCATCGTGGTAGATAATGCGTTGAGCGAACGTTCTATTTTGCCTACCTAATATATATATATATATATTTATATAATTCTCTTTTAACACAGTTTACAATATTTTCTTGAAGCTCCACTACTAACCCAGCTGCTACATCAGTTAAATCATGGTCCAGTGGCAGATTCAAACTCCATATATATCCATGAATCCATATGGAGCTGAATAAAAAATCGAACAAAATCCAAACTAGAAATGTCGAACAAATGAATCTGAAAAAAAAAATGAATGATCAGATTGTTTGTTTTACCTGAAGACTAATTGAAGATAATACCGGATTCTTTTTTCTTGTACGTTAACCGTTGTTTGATCTTCGGGCTCCAATAAGTTTGTAAATTTATTTGTATATCTTTTGAAAAATTTGAAAATATTCATGATCTGACAATAGCAAGAATCAAAAAGATATCTGTAAAGAATTTTCAGTAGATTTTCGAATCTTCACTCAATCAATGTTCCTCGTTCGTCTGAGATGTTTTGCCTTGACCTATTTACTTATTGTGATGTGAACACTAGGTGTCTTATTCACTTTCTTCAAGGTAGGGAATAACAAAGCTTAAATGACAGAAATGATCAAAGTGTAACGAGTAGTCTTATGAGAAACAATATTAGTCAGCAGCAACAATATCTAATGCACTATTATGAATAATAACCTTACGACACAGTTCCCAATGTTAATATTTATGAAAGATATAAAATTACTTTATATGATTGTATATGCGCCTCATTGGCTCAGGGGCAGAGCGTCTGTCTAGTAAACAGAAGGTCGCTGGTTCGATTCCAGCATGAGGCATTTTTGCATTGCTAAACTAATTTTTCATTTTCTTGAATTTTTTCAATGTTTTACGAAACGAGAAGTTTCAGTATTGGTTTAAACTAATTTTGAATTTGTACTTTTTTTTGTGTTTTCTTTTTTCCTTTTTTAGTTCATATTTACTGACAGTTCGTAGTATACAAAGATTGTTGCATTTCTGATTGTAGTTCAAATTTTAGTTTGATCCTGCTTATTGTCGATCCACAACCTTCCGAAACTTTTAACGGGTCATAAATGTGTTATTGAATTTAAGAGAGGGGAGTGATATGTGTTTCCCCTTCGATTTAAATGCTATATAAGGCGTTTTCTATCTATTGCGAGCTTCTCTAGATACCGTAAAAGCTTGTTCATATTTTCCCTGTAGCGCAGTTCATTTAATGTTTTCTGTTTTGTCTGAGGTTTTTGATAGTTTCTATGTAATTGCTTTTGCGAGCCTCGGAGTTGCCTCAGAGAGTGAACGCTCTTAGTGTTTGTTGTTATGTTTCGCTCATGACAGTCTCGCTTCCCTTATCATGAGATACCTTTGAAACAAATCCTTGCCTAGCAAAGCGCTGAGAGAACTCGATTTGAGCTTTAACTAGTACCACCTATATGCGAGTACTAGAAAGATTATCGTTGTGCTAACTCTGTCCT